ACCATAAAACATTCTAAATTCTTTTCAAGAAGAATAAAATCGCAAATAATTTCTGGACTTTGTGATATGCACCTAAATACCGGTCTTAAGGCCGCAGAATCACAATACATATTACCCCCCCCCCCCAAAAAAAAAAAAGAAGAAAAAATTGTGATATACTCAGTAGTGCGCGGGGTATATCGATAAAATCACATATCCCTTGTAATAAATTTATTTTTATTTATTGTTTATTTTAAATTCTAATTACTTGTTTGTTTATTTATTTTTGCTTGTCAAAAAATTATGAGACTTAACATCTGTGAAATTTGATCCCCCCTTTTGAAAAAAAAGATATTGGGGGATGTCTGTGCTTACATTATCCCCTTTAACTTTTTAAAAATTAATTTAGGTCCTCACTAACAAATTAATTCAATACTAATCCATTCCTACTATAGCTATATATTTTTGTCCCTTCACAAAGCCGTACTAAGGAATTGGAAAGGTTTAATTTTTATTATTTCTGTTGCCATGGGAACAGGAATCCATAGCAACTAATGAAATAATCACCGGTTTCAGTTTGCAGACGCATTCCTGCATGACTGTCAAAAAATTTCAAGATCATATTCCTGGCAAAACTATTTTTATGCATAAATAGAATGTCTATTCAAAAGGAGATTTTTGAACAAATATTGGATTTTTTGATAATCGAAAAAAAAAGATGTTTGGACAAATATATTTTTCTAGAGTTTTGATATATCAAAAGGCACATTATAAATAACAAAACTCTGCTAGAATAACTTCTGTTGCAATTTGTTTGAAGTTTGGGTGTTTTTGAGTTAGATTGACTGGACTAACTGAAATTGCTCTCACATTTGATCCTGTAATTATCTTTTAACTGAATTATTAATAATAATGATTTAACTTTATAAGGTAATTAACACGACATATCTATGCTGCGATTGTTAAATCTGTAAAAATAATTTTAGTGAATCTATATGCATCTATTAGACAATTTTGAAATCAAAGGGCCCGTTTTACAAAAGAACTTACACCTAAGACCAAAATTAATTCTGCGATTTTATTCTTCTTGAAAAAATATAGAATGTTTTACAATGAAATCTTAGAAATATGGAGGTTGGGTCCAGAACCAACTGGTTCTTTGTTTACAATAAATGTTATAAGTATATAGAAATTACCTTTTCAGCCTTTAATTACTATCGTAATAATTATTGAACATTTTCAAGCGTATGTTTTTTTTTTAAATTTAGTTGAAATATTGAACATTATTTTTACAGACTCAAAATTAAAATCCACAGCCATGTAAGACCATGAAAAACACATAAGCTCAAGTTTTCTTTCCAACCGACGTCACATTTTTTTGTAAAAGTATTTGTCTCTCACATCCTATGACCTACACTACTAGTATATAAATGAAAAATGTCAGCTATGGTACTTTTCTGACCAATTATTATACCCCTTGCAAAATGTTACCATGGAGGGGGGGGGGGGGGAGATAGAGAGAGAATACAAGCACGTAGCAGCTGGTGGAAGTGCTCCCCACACTTTTTTTCCCCAAACATCTCATTACTTTTAAAATCTTCATTGAAAGACCACCGATAGCTTCCTCCCCCTTTTTGTTACAGTAAAGCCAATCAAGGGTCAAGTCGTCTTGTATGAATAAAATTTGGTACTGAAGGAAGTGAGACCTACATCCCTTTCCTCCAACTAAATAGGAGTTTCATTTTTGTTTTCTATGGCTTGCCCCCCCCCCCCCCCCTTCAACATGATGGCACGTCACTATTACATTTAATACTACTGACATGCATGTAAGTGAAGACATTCTTATTCTACTTTTTTTTTATTTTAATAAGAGGAGGTATTGACTTGATAAATAATATTGCAAGGATAAATAATCTATAAAATACATGTTATATCTGTAAAAAATACATTTTGTTGAACAATCAATTCAGCTTTGAGGTCTTGTATTTAATTATCTGCTATTCTTTATTTAATAATTGGATATTGTTTGTTAATCAGTTGTATGTCCTTTTAAGACCAAAAATACAGGGAATATACTGTTTTCCCTGCCATATTTATAACGACACGAGATGTTTTATTTAGATCACTAGAGTTCAGTCAGTGAGCATGCGCATATTTAACACTAGTGCGACACGGGTTGTCTTAATCGAATACACTCCATTTGACAAGATTCGCGGCGCTTAAGAAATAAGTGAATGCGCAGCTGCTAATCTGTAGCTGACAGTGTGCATTCAGCCAAGAAGAATTTCGTTTCGCTGTGTTTCTTCTTACTTTACCATCAGCCATGTCTTTTTTCTTCTTGTATGGTTTTCGGATTGCTTTAAAGTTGATATAAACAATAGCACTGTCTTCTTCAGGCTACTATTGGGTATTCTTGCCATAATTTTTTTCAACCATTGTTGCAATGCTTGAATCGCGCATGGGTCTATTAGTATCAATAGCTGGTTGATGGTGCAATTACTATAGTAATCACAGCTGAAATCTCCTTACCAAGAATTTCCCATGGCATTAATTTAAGACGCATTGATATGACAAAACTTTGAATAGGATATATTTGCCAAATCCAACCACTCCGAAACATTTTTTGCCATGTTTCTAGGTTTGTTTAAGAGATGGGGCTGTTCTAACTGAACAAATCAAGTTACTCACTCATCAACTATAATTTAGAAGAACTTGATTTTAGTTATCATATAATAAAACATCAAGATTCCAACTTTTACTTGAACTTCACTTTCTAAGGATGGAATTCTCCAAAATCATGTTAGTCTTTCATACTTTTAAACATTCCAAAACCTTTAAGGAGAGAGGCCTGTGGCAGTTAGACAGAGATTCAGGAAGGCCTGGGCTTGAATACCAGTCTGGTCCAATGCATTTTTTCTCCTCTCCAATCACATACTGGTATTTCTTTAAGAAATTCTACATAAGAAAACAACCCCTTGGGCCATCACATCCAGGTATATATTTGACAATTTAATAAATAACAGTAGTTACTTTTATGATGTTTTTGAGTTGTGCAAACAATTTGCAATTTTTTATACCCCCCGCAAACGAAGTTTGGGGGGTATATAGGAATCACCTTGTCCGTCTGTCTGTCTGTCCGTCTGTCTGTGCAAACGTGTCCGGTCCATATCTTTCTTATGAAGGGACATTAGAATCTACTACTCCACACAAAGATTGCCCATGACCTAAGGGTGTGTCATGACCTTGACCCAAGGTCATTTGGGGAAGTTCAAGGTCACTGTAAGAAAAAGTTCATAATTCGTGTCCGGTCCATATCTTTCTTATGGATAAACTTGGTAGGTTCTCATTTCACACAAAGATTGCCCATGACCCAAGGATGTGTCATGACCTTGACCCAAGGTCATTTGGGGAAGTTCAAGGTCACTGGAAGAAAAAGTTCATAATTCGTGTCCGGTCCATATCTTTCTTATGGATAAACTTGGTAGGTTCTCTTTTCACGCAAAGATTGCCCATGACCCAAGGGTGTGTCAGGACCTTGACCCAAGGTCCTTTGGGGAAGTTCAAGGTCACTGGAAGAAAAAGTTCATAATTCGTCTCCGGTCCATATCTTTCTTATGGATAAACTTGGTAGGTTCTTATTTCATGCAAAGATTGCCCATGACCCAAGGGTGTGTCAGGACCTTGACCCAAGGTCCTTTGGGGAAGTTCAAGGTCACTGGAAGAAAAAGTTCATAATTCGTGTCCGGTTCATATCTTTTTTATGGATAAACTTGGTAGGTTCTCATTTCACTCAAAGATTGCCCATGACCCAAGGGTTTGTCATGACCTTGACCCAAGGTCATTTGGTGAAGTTCAAGGTCACTGGAAGAAAAAGTTCATAATTTGTGTCCGGTCCATATCTTTCTTATGGATAATCTTGGTAGGTTCTCATTTAACGCAAAGATTGCCCATGACCCAAGGGTGTGTCATGACCTTGACCCAAGGTCATTTGGGCAAGTTCAAGGTCACTGGAAGAAAAAGTTCATAATTCTTACCAGTCCATATCTTTTTTATGGATAAACTTGGTAGGTTCTTATTTCACACAAAGATTGCCCATGACCCAAGGGTGTGTCATGACCTTGACCCAAGGTCATTTGGGGAAGTTCAAGGTCACTGGAAGAAAAATTTCATAATTCATGTGTGATACATATCTTTATTATGGAAAAACTTACTTCTGAAAAAACCCAGCAGGGGGTATTTTGTCCCGTTTGGACAGTTCTAGTTTTAACAACTATAACCATAAATTATGACCAAGGATAATAAAACAAATATAAAATAAAATTATTTACACAAAATTTATTTTGACATTTCACAATGATCATTTGTTTATTTATAAACATGTATCACAAAGTTTGGCTTTAAAACTACAATAAATTAGTCATGGCACCTGTACTCCCATAAATCTGTATACCGGTAATGATAGAAACTTATTTCAAACAGAACAAGAGAAAAAACGTCAGTCATTAAGTACATATAACTTCAAAATGCACATATCTTCTTTTTGAATGTATCATATTTTGATCTTAAGTTTAAGTCTTAAGTTCTTTTGTAAAACAATCTCCTGTATATTTTTATCTTTCAAACATGGTCACAAATGGTCACATGGTCACAAAAGTTATTTCTAACAAAATAACTTAACCCATGAAGTCACCAAAGGAATATTTGCTTTCAAGGGGAATGCAAAATGAAGTTTATTTCCCTTGTTCTTCTAGACAATCCATATCTATATTATAAGAGTTCTGGTACAATAAATATTAATGTAATCAATGAAATATTGAATAATTATTGAATAATCCGTTATTAAAATATATTAACTATTTCACATTATACTGTTATGAGACTAGATATGCATAATGAATTTTTATATATTGCACTTCCAAGAAAAAAAATGTATTTTATATAAAATTGATATGCAGCACTGTAGGTAATCTCAAATCTCTTATTCTGAGCATTCTACATGTACAATACGGTATAAAAGGAACAAAAAAAAAACTTCTGGAGTTTACAAAACCCCATTCAGAAATCTTGTGGCATGTAGAGTGTACTTTAAAATGTTACCCATTTTATTTCTTAACATAGGATCACTTATACTAACACAAAATCAATCAAGTCAATATAAGAAAATAAAAAAAATCACAATTATTTTGATTCTGACATGCATGTTTAAGATCAAAACAGCAAAATGTATTCCTTATGCAAGTTCAATAAACACCAGAAATAGACAAAAACCATTATGAAAAATCTCCTCCATTTGATTGTGTTATAGATGCATAAACTTGGCATATGGAATTATCACCTAATGAATCTTCAAACTTTCCATATAAATATGAAAGCTTTTACAAGGCACACAATTTTTAAATGAAAGAACATGCTTTCTTATAAAAGTGCAATAAAACATGTTAATCATTGGCAAGTCTGCATTGCAATCAATGTGAATGTTTTTAAAATAGAATAAGACCTAAATCAACCAATAGGGGACAGTCCTACAAATACAGAGGCTGACATGAATAACACCAAATTAAATCTAACAAAATTTAATTCATTAATTAAAATTGAATGCCTATTTATAAACATATATCTCTCTTTCATTCTCTCTTCATGGTGGGCTTGCCTTACTTTCATTAAGGGGCAAACAAGACATTGCATGTAGATAGAAGTATACAAGATACTTATGTAACTGCAATAAAACTAACACTTTGCCCAATATGACTGTAGTATTATGATTTAAGTTTGAACTGCTTTTGAAAATACTACAATAAAATGCTAAGCCATAGCAAACCAATTGTTAAAATACAGGAAAAGACTTATATGAGGAAAACACAGGAACATAAAATAACCAAATTTCTCTATATTGATTTAAAAAACTTCATTCAAACTCTGCTACAAGATTCAACTACATGTAATTGCTGAGATTTCTTTATATTTGGGCTTTACTGAATTAGAGACGCATGTATAATGAAAAATTAAAATGTGGACTAAATTCTGTAAAATACATGCACCATATTTTTGAGATCTTTAAATTCTAAAGGTAAAAATACAATAAAAATATACAATAATTTGTTTTATTTCTTCAAGTACGGTACCTAGTAAATAAACCATAAATATAAATGAGTGAGGGATACACTGTTATAAAATTTGTGACATTGCAATAATCACTAGTACAACAATAAAATTCATTAATAATATAGATTTCTACTTATGAAACAAAAATACAATTAGTGATATTTTTCTGCCACAATACACCAGTTAGCATGATCATAAGTTGAACTAATAATTTTCACATTTGGGACATGTTTTGAAATGAGTTTTGGCAATTCCCCATCTTTGAAAACATGGTAAAACCTGCTAAGTTCTGTGGACTTGTTTAATGATTCGTTTCTTACTGCAGGGGATGAAGGCACTGAAGACGTGGGATGACTGACCTGGACTGCCTCTGTGATATGATTGACAGCTGGCAAGCTACAAGAGTGTCTTTGAGAGAGGCCACTCAAATGAGATCTTAGTTTGAGACTATCTGAGGACATATCATCAAAACGTTTTAGAGACTCGCAATTTGAGGGTGATAAGTCTGACATGGAATGCTTAAGTAGTGTATCTTTCTGACTTGCAATATGGCAGGATGTGTCTTGACTAGCAGAAGCTCTAGCTTCCAAACATGTCTGGTGTACAGGATTGTTTTTCGTCTCAGATTCAACACTGAGTTCATCGGTAACACAGTATAAGTTTGATCCCTGATTTTCACTGCTCTGAAAGGCTTTTAACTCCTCTGATATGATCTCCCTTCTGTAATTTGGACAGCTACTCATTGGGAACTCTCTCACAGCAAAATCGCTGACGTCCATCTCTCCACTATCACATACTACTGGCTCAAGTTTTGGCTTCTTCATTTTTGATGATTTTCCTTCAAAAAAATTAAGAAAACTCTCTTTGATGGAAGAAAAAAGTGTGAATTTATTTTTCCTCACTTTTGCACCATCTTTTCGAGTTGTTTGTGATGTATCATCTGGATCTTTGACAGGATCAGTCTTACACAAATACTGGTCTAAGCTTGGTTTATGTCCTGGACAAATGTCACAATTGCTATTTGATTTCACTGAACTGACAACATTTTCTTGAAGCACCACTGACTTGATTTTACTACAGGGATCTTGAATATCAGTGATAGTTTCTGATGTAAATTTATCTCTCCCATGGCAGTTTGTGTTGTCAATCTTAAAAGGTTCAGAAAGGTTCCTATGGGAAATTTCTGCTGCTTTTTCTAAATTCCCATTCTCAGCTTTGATAGATTTTCTGATTGGCTCTGAAAAATCACCTGATTTGTAACCTTCAAGTCCTGTATGATGTAAGTTTTGATGACTGCTTAGATCTGCTTGCAAATTTTCATTAGTTGACCTGTATTCACTTTCACTGAGGTAGAACATACTTGAAGACATGGCCTTGAGAGATGCCTCAAACTTTCTGCACTCTGCTGCAAGAACACTTGGTACAAAATTATCTCGAGTTTCTTCCCCAGAAAGTCCCTCAAGTGAGCTGGGGAGGGTATTGCACCTGTGTCTTTGGGACAATAGGTGGGATTCCTGAGTGACCGTTCTAAGATAGGACTGTAGATGAGTATTTTCTTGTTCTTTGCCTGGATCTGAGAGTGTTCGATTAAAGTTTATCTCTGAACTCCTGGTGTCCTCGATGTCAACTGATGACTCACTATCAGAGCTTGTATTGCTGGACAATCCCCCATCCAGTGAGCCTGTGACAAGTATCAAATACTTAACATTAGAGAACATTATTGATGCAGTTTAAAGTTTTTTGGGGTTCCCTGTCAATATTCATAACAATTCTTTATTAATTAAGTTATGGTTATAATGAAATCTGATGTATCAAATCAATGATTATCTGACATTAGTTGAGGTAAAGTGAAGTTATAGGGTGAAGTCTAGTAAAAGTACTTATCCAAATGCTCTAATTTCATTAAAATTCCCCCAATATGGTACAAAATAACACAATGGCTTACTACTTATTAGAGTATGTGGAATGTTTGGGGAAAAAAACCCAACTGGCATGTCATTGTTTAAAATGGGCAGGAATATAGAAAAATTTGGTTTCTTACCAGATCTCTTGTTGCTATGGTTACTGTGCCAAGGAATCAAGACATCCTGAGTTTTGAACTGAAACAAACATTTTTAAAAATATACATACATGTATAATAGCAGAAATTATAAATTTGATTTAACATTAACTTAAACTTAACTAAATGACCTCTGGTCTGAAACACTCTCTGTTCAAAAGTAATCTTTAAACAAATTAGGAACTTTCTTCAATGTTTTTATAATAGAAAGTTAGAGAAAATTTCAGATGGATATACTTTAGCTGTCATTGATCTTGAACTTGCCCAAATAGCCTTGAATCAAAGTCATTTGTCACCCTTATATCATTAATATCATTATCAATCTCTGTGTCAAGTATGAGCTTCCAATATTTTTTCTTTTAAAGATTGGAAAGGTTTGGAATCATACTTTTCCTAAATGTGACCTTGAACTTTTCTAAATGACCTTAAATAAGGATTAGGACAATTAACCCATTGGGTAAATAAAAGACAGAAAACAATTACCATTTTTTTGCAAAGTACATGCACTGTGACATTGCCTGAATGAAATTGCAAAGGTAATATTATTCCCTTATGTCAGAAGTAACATGGTAGTATTTATGCATACCGGTATTTTTTTTCATTACAAAGACCCATTTGTAGGAAACACAGAAAAATAGATGGATGGATTTAAGTGATAAAGATGATCTCTGTACATCTCCCAAACATTGGTGGGTAGACACACAGGGTTATTTTCAGTATCTAGCAACATGGATACTGAATACCGGTACATTTCCTTTTTTTGAATTTCAAAATTCCTTATACAGTAAAACTTGTTTAATACGAACAAGGATATTGGGAATTCATGGATATAACGAAGTTATCTTGCCTAAGCTATATAAATTCAACTTAATACGGATATAACAAATTACCGACTTTGCGAAGCAATTTCATAGGTCCCAGTGACTTCTTTATAACTGAGTTTTACTGTACAATCAAAAAGAGGTCAGAAATCCCTTCACTGATACTTCTGTTAAATAAAAAGGATGGTTATTTATCATGAGATTCCCTCACCCTTCTGTGCTTTTGTTCAAAGGCCCATACATATATCATGACCTGTCCCCCAGGTCTTAGAAGACGGCACATTTCCTTCACAGCTTGGAGACGTCGACTCTGACTAGAGAAATGGTGGATTACACCAATAGATATGATGGCATCAAATACCCCATCTCGAAATGGCAGGCTCATATTGTCTGCCACAAGCACCTCATGGCCCTTACTCCTGGCATTCTCTACCAATGGGGAGCAGATATCCACTCCAAATTTCACAACTTTACTGTTAATGTGAAGATAGCGGCCACTTCCACAACCTGAGATAGATATTGAAGTCTGTATGTTTTACATTCCTACTACATTTACATGACTGTATAATCATATTCCCTTTTGTATTCTTAGTTCACTTATAAAATACCAGAAGTTTAACTTTGAAAAACTTTTGTCAGGAAAGTTAATTGTAACCCCCCCCCCCCAAAAAATCTCTATGGATTGAAAAATATCAAAACTTATAATTGTTAGTTTCTACCAATATCAGCCACTATGGATCCAGGAGGCAAATCCTTGAGAAACCTTCGGACGTTTGGCCAGGCTTTCTGGGAAATTTCGCTGAACTTTGGTGCAATCTGGTCATACACATTATACACATGATTTTTCTCCAAGTGAAGATCCTTGTGTTTTCTGTTATCTCTCACTGGCATTTTCAGAGTAAGGCTGTAAAAAAATACATTATGTATACGTATTGATTACTGAAATACCTTACTAATCCAGGTATTACATGGAGGAGAATGCCTTCCCCGCCCACATTATTCAAGAATATATAAATACTTGTAATACAGGAAATTTACACTCTGATTTTTAATAGAAGTGACATTTACAACGAACTTCTCATGACTATACATGATCATTTTTTTTCATTTGGCTGACCACAACATTCACCTGTCTTTGACTTACGGTTCCACAAACACAAAGTGTTACCTCTAGCATTATATAATCATTTTGTAGCAATATAAGGTACAACCTCATGATTACCATCATCAGTTATAACCTTCACCTTTTACCTTAAAAAATAATAGCAAGTGGTAATTTCTCTAAAACAGATCAAAGGATACTCTAGTACTCTACCAAATATGACCTTTGAATTCCCGATCCTGGAATTAACATTCTTTTTCTTCTGACCAACAGTGGTGAATATTGACAATTGATGTTCACACAATCCTTGACTCTATTGTGGAACTTAACAATTAACTTTTTGACTCCAAAATCAATAGTTTTTTTTCTTCTTTTGACCACCAAGTATTCCCTTAACAAGGGATGTGTACATAAATTGATAAACCTGTAATGATCATTATGAGATTTGGTCACTAACAAGTAGCTTTGCAAAGGACCAATTTAATCTATTTTCTGAGTAGAGATTACAACATTGGGCTGATCACATGGTTGGCATGAAAATTGAATCCCTTCTCTTCACTTTAATTCTTTTATGTAAAATAATGACTTTACAAATATCATGAAATTATCGGTAAGTGCCTATGAAGGTAATTATTTCAGAAAACATTTAGCCTAATTGAAATTATATTTCATGAATATATACACTCAACTCATGCTTTATCATTAAATAGTTTCCACTCGCTTAAATATATTTTCTTGCAATTTAAAGTCTTCAGATTATTTCAATATTTTTTAAATTCAATGTACTAACACATACTAAGGTATCTTCTTTAAAACACAAAGTAGTGAGTTCTGTTATAAGACGACTCCTCACATTTATAGTACTTTGACCTTGAAACCTTCACCTCTCACCTCCATCTACTCTGTCTCCTCCATTGTATGACTGTCCGGTGTAACTGTGTAGGTTATAAGGCTGATGCACTAAGGTCAGCTAAACTGTGACACAGGCCTCATTCAGTCCCCAGGTAGCTCCATAGACGTGCTACAATCAATTAGTTCGCAGTGCTGTACAACATGCATGATTCGTATTTATATCCAATTATTGGACTCCACCTTCACGACATTTTGTCTACTGTTACAATGCAGGTTGTGCCTCACCCTTCGTGTGACAATCAAACCAAAAAGTTGTGATTTCTTTGTACCATTTGACCATTAGACTTTATCATACATATAGGCCTAACTGAAATCACTTTGAAATGGAGGTTATATTTTTATGATTTCACTTAAATAATTTGAGATCTGTTTTATTTATCATATAAGTCATCTTTTTTTGTATAAATAGTTTTTTAAAAAAAATCCCACCATAATTGGCATAGTTATGTGATTTAATGTAATAAGTTTACCATAAATGTAATAAGTTACAAATTCAATCACACCTCTCCATTGAGGGAGCACTTCACAGTAATCGTGATGCACAGAGAACGAGACCTCAAAGATCTCGACAATGACGTGACGGAGAGTGCGGTAATTCTACAGAATTAATGCCAGTTGTTTTTCACCACAAAATCAATTTCCCATCTCTGTCTGAGAACAACAGAATTAATTTATACAAATTATTTCACATGCAATATTGCTTCCTTATCATACATTGAGTTCTTTTCCCTACAAAGATTTTGGTTGTAAACTTGGACACAAATGAGTATAGTTATTAGTTGGATATATATTCAATATGATATGCCATTATTATTGAAGGGTGGCATAAAACATGAATATGAAAACATCAACGTATAGAGGCGGCAGATGTTGGATTAATAAAGGGATAAAATCAGATAAGCAGCTGATGCCCCCCTTTATTATTCACCCAAAACATGATACCAGAGAGTTGTACAAACAATTACTTTATTGCAATACAATATAAAGTAATTTAAACAAACTGGGAGGAAAAACCTAACTTAAATAAATAAACATGCTGGTTATAAAGTTTTTCAATAGAAAATAAAAATCTTACATCATATTCTGAGAATTAAATATGTTTTTGAATATTATTAACCTATACCAGATGGCTTTTTAAACAAAACATTTCAAAATGGAACCGTACGTTATTGACTGTTGAGAGAAATTATTCAAAGCAGCATCCAGGGTACTTATATTTTCAACTAAAATTTTTTTTGAATATTTATTTCCTGTTTGACACGATTAAAACATAACTTACCTACTTTATTTAATCAGACCAGGTGAAGCGTCATACTAGTGGTAACTTGGCCTTGTCCATTCTACTGTCTACCTACATAAGAAGTAGTACATAATCTATAATATCTGTTTCCATAGTAACATTGATGTAATGATTCTATTCTCCAACAGAAAGGAGTGACAAGTTGGGTCATATATAAAAACTTCAGCACCAATTCAAGCGATCAATAAGACATAAAACCAGTCACCGATTTATCACATCAATATTCAATCATCACAAACACAGCTCTTCTGTAAACATTTTATGTAAGCAGCTAATGTTCACTTAACTGTAAACACCCCTAAGAGTTTGGCAAAAATATCATTCCAACAAACACATAAGCTATACCCTAGATACTAACTTTACTGGCTATCATTAGTTTCTTTGACTCTAATTGGGGTGACCTAAGTGTACCAGTCCGAATCCTTCCCTGTTATAAGTACCAGATTTCCCTCAGCTGGCAGTGCTATATTGACAATTCTATACTGTTAAATTGATGTGTTAAGAGGCTGCCTCACTGGAACCATTTATATCTGTCCTGACATAAAACAGCCAGCCCTGTATATGTATAACCACATATTGAACTTTTCCATTGATTCTTCTTTCCTATATTGCCAATTTTTCATCATGATTTTCATATGAAAAACAGACACAATGTATTACGCTAGCTGATTTATATGTCAGGATAATATCCTAGCGGGAGTAACTATGTCAGTAAAACTTATATAAAATTAATTGTCATAAAATGTTTGCTTACATATACAACCAGAGGGCTCAACATTAATGTTTGTCCAATTGGCCATGTCCATTTCATCTTAAGATTTCAAAAGTTTTTATCTTTGTTCTCTAAAATAATGTAATAAATATTGTAAGTTATTCCGTGAAAAATTGACAAAAATGAAATTTTGTAAAAAGAGTCTGTTCAGTGGATGCTTATGGTGTTTCTTTTGCACTTATTCTTTTTTCATGTAAACAAAGTAAGATATTTTTGAGCTGAAAGATAATGAAACAATACAGATGCAATTGACTTTCTTAATTGCAGATGCTAGACTAACCATTATAAGTCAAATACATGTATTAATTGAAGATAAACCCTTATCTCTTAGATGCGAGTCTAACCATAATCAGCCGAATAATTGTGCAAAGACTAACCCTAATCTCTTAGATGGGTGCAAGACTTAACCCTGTGAAATAAGTGTGCAGGACTAACCCTTATCAGTTGAGAGTCGTAAACCTTTAGTTTATGTCCTAATCTTTGAGTGTGGGGGTATCTTGAAATGGGTATGGTAAACTAAAAGTCTCCTGTGTCAATCTCTAAATGCTAATCTATAACAGGGGTTTACTTAGGCCCTGGGGTCAAGGAATTTCCCCACCTATAATGACATTATCCCCTGGATATTCTGAATGAAAACCCTTTCAGCCCCTGTAAAGGGACTTAAAGGGAGGAGCCTGAAACCTTCTTCTGATTTTTCAAAATGTCACTTGCTATATTAATACTTAGGAATTAATCCTGCTATTTTCCTGTATCCTTTTAATCAACAGTCTTAATAATTTTAATCTATTTAATTCTAGCTTTATTTCCTGTCCAGATACCACTTGATACATACAACATCAATTTTGATTGAAATGTAAAGGGAAAACAGTACAATGTTCACAGTTGTGAAAATAGCTAAATACCAATTCAAGATTTTTCTTCTGACATCAGAAATTTCCAAATTTTTTTTTAATATTACCAAAATCTATAATACCTGTTGATTACAGCCATTATAATTTAATTACAAAGATTTTTGTTTTGTTCTTTCTGAAAGAAATTTAGATCCTTTACCGGTTAAAAATACCATGAAAAGGATGGATTAAACTTTATTCCCTTCCAAACATTTGACTTTTTTTCCTTCAAGAAATTTAAGAAAATTCCAAGTATTGAATCTCAAAGGGCAGGCCACTGTCACTATGGAGAAAGTATAGAGGCTAGGAGAAAGTATAGAGGCTAGGAGAAAGTATAGAGGCTTTAGCCAATGAATGAAATATATGGAGATAAAGGACAGTATTCAAGCTTAAAAGTCCATCAAACAATACAAATTATGGACCTCTAATACATCAGAGGTGGGATCAGGTGCCATGGAAGAGTGTGCATCCCCTGCTGACCTGCCATGTGCTCCTTGTCATAATTGGGAAATAACAGAAAAATCCATTGACAATTCAGAACTATAATAATGGTCTAAAAGAAATTCCAAAATGTCAGTAAGCATTTGACTTAATGACAGGTCCTGGGTTTGATTCCTGGTCCAGCCATAGATTTTCTCCTTTCCAGTGTTATATAGATTTGGTGCGGTTGAACACCTCTGGGATATTGCAAGTGAAACTCCTGCCAGGGGCTAATAAAAGCTTGAGTTGTGTCTTTGAGGGCAAAGACCATTTAAGGAGGAAGGAATCTAATGGTTTTGGCCATGGATATTGGCCTGGATAGCTCAGTCGGTAATACACCTGACAATAGTGATGCAGGGCCAGGGGTCTCACCGGTTCGATTCCCGGTCCAGCAATTACATTTAATTTTCTCCTTTCTTGTTACACTAAAATCACATAGACACTATAAAATTACTTTTATATAGTACATGTATTTAGACTACAATTTCATCTCTGTCTACTCTTACCACTAAACTAATATACAGCTATCCTACGGCTACCCGGCTAGCAGTAGCAGCTAAGTGTTCAGACTGACTAGGCTTATTTAGCATTTTCATCTGTAATTTTTGCAAGTTTGTTTTAAAATCCTTTTCCAGCTACACATTTAACTTTGGTGATCTGGACTAAAATATCTCAATGGAGGTCTAAATGCAGAAAGTAAACCTACCTGAAAGTGATGCTCATGCACTCTCTACCATCGGCTCATACATTCACCTCTGTCGTTGGCTCGCGTATATCACAGTGCTAAACACAAGAAATAGTGCGTTTGTTTTAATTCATTATAATTCAATTTCCATGATTATGTCTGAGTTTTGAGATAGATATTTACTAAATAAATCCAGAACTATTATTTTAATTTGAAAAAATCCTACAAATATAACTTTTTATACGGTATGTCAAAAATCTTGACGTGAGCCCATTGCAGAGGTGTCTGAGAGAGGAACGAACGACAACTCTGCCTGGGAGATTGATGCTCATGGTGCTTTGTTTCAGTAACTTGTTAACTGGTTCATATTCTGGTTACGTGAAACAATCAGAAAGGCTTCGTGTAACAATGTTTTGGTTTATTTATTTTTCTGTATAGTAATAATGATTTAAAAAATATGTTTTAAATTGAAATAAAAGGTTACATGGCAATAAACACAAAAATATATTCATGCGAATATTATATGCTCGAGTTACTTCACAAATAAACAAAAAATGTCAGCTGTGAGACGTCATAGGACTTTTCAACGTTTTCTTGCTATTTCAAAGGTAGCATTTGTATTAAATCCACATTATATCCTTAATTTTGAATTTGTTGTGATGGACATTCATATAAACTTCTTTGAAATGGACGTTATTCATCCAAAACTGGATGGAAACTGACTCGAATTTTCTCTGCTGAATTAAGTAATCCTGCTTGAATGAACAATTATTCACGGACATGTTTTAAATTGAAGTCATTGGATATTTCCATATTCTAGTTCCTGTATCTAATATAATAGGGTTTTTAATATAAAACTAAATCCATGTTTGCCTTTAAATATGAGAAAATCCATGAATTATCATGATTATTTAAGTCTTATGTAATCACAGCAGAGCTTGCATAAAATAAGCTGGTAAGGTGTTTGCTTGCCAAGTTCCTCAACAAGGTGTGTAAAGAATTTACTCATAAGTTGATAAAAAACATATAGTAAAAGATTTTTTTACAAGTCAGGTCCTTGTTATGGTAGTGGAAAATAAATGAATGTTAAACATTTTGGTTGAAAATGTTACTTTTTTGTAATCAAGAATACATTAATATTTAGAAATGATGATTAAAAAACATATAGATCAATTAAAAAACAAATTTTAAAAGAACCAAATATAAATAATTTCTAAATGTTCCTGTTAATTCTTGTAAATGAACAAGGTTTTGTTTTTTTCCAGGTTACTGAAAGTACTTCATTTTGCAAATTCTATGCAACCTTATCAGATGAACAGAAAAAGAAATTAACTGATGGGTTAGTAAATAAAAGACCTTGTAGGTTTTTTTTAAACCAAAAATAGGGAGCCCAGCAAGTGATACAGGAAACATCAGAAGGAAAAAGGGAGAGAGGTGAAGGATAAAATCACAAGAATTGTTTATAATATTCACTACTGTAAATCACTTTTTATTTGCGAGAACTTTATTTTTGCATAATTGGGCGAGACAGTGTGCTCACAAAAAATGTCATTCTTGCAAATAATAGTTTTCATTAAGATAATATATAGCAATAACCACAATTCGTGAGTTTTATCTTGCTAATAAAGAGTCAATAACTATCTCGCAAATAGTTGGCTCCACAAAAATTGACCAATTTGACAGAATTTGAGATGCAAGTCATTTGATTATAATTATGTCGCCCGGAACGAAGTTGGGCAACATATTGTGATTGTACACATGTTTTTGTTGTCCAGGCTATTTCTCAGTGATGGCTGGAACAATATTCCTGAAACTTTCCTCAAAGGCCGACCACTGGTTGTAGTTGTGTTGTGTGGTCATTCAGTTTCAAAATGCTACCGTTGCCATGGAATGTTTTGGTAATACATGTAATTAAAGACTGAAAAAATGTTTAAAGTCAGCTATGCGGAGTAAATTTAGTGTATACGGGGACACAATAATAATATACGACAAGTGATCCCAGCAACATCCGTTCCTTCTGTTTCACTAGTGTGGTCATCACAAAGGTGCATGGAAGATATTCGTCATGAAACTTTTTTATTTTATGTCTTTTTGTGTGATTAGTAATTAAATATTTTCGTGGTGTGCGGTGTTTTTAAACATGCATCTTTAAAATTTTCAAATAATCAATTATTTATTGCCATGGAATATTTAGAAATGATGATTAAAAAAAATAGTCAATTAAAAAACAAATTTTACTTTAACTTTGATTTTTAAATCAAAGTACTGAAAAAGGACCTGATACGAATTGATGGTTGTCCAAGCTTAGCTAATGGGTATTGTATAATTTAGTGATACAAAACTTTATTTTTACATAAATGTCATTCTTGCAAATAATAGTTTTCATTAAGATAATATATAGCAATAACCACAATTGTGAGTCCATGGCAAATAGTTGGCTCCACAAAAATTGACAAATTAGACAGAATCTGGGGCAACATTTTATGATATTTATCTTTCATTGATTTATTACTTTCAGCATCAAAGTTATTATGTATTTATACCAGAGCAGCATCCAACCTCAGCATATTGCACATTACAAACGGTTTTTGTGTACCACACTAAGGTCAATCATGTATGATTTTACAGATTAAGACTTCCTAAATGGTTAAAAACAGATGTTGCCATGGGAAAAGATTATCACAGACTGAAGGAAAACCTGAGAGATCTGAAACTTCATACAGTAAGAAGTATTGAAATAAAATATCGAATTTTTAATCTGATGAAGGTAATATGTTGACCTTGCTATACATGTATCTTGGATTTTCAGATATCTTGATGTGTATATTACAGGTTTGTGAGGAGGCAAAATGTCCAAACATTGGGGAATGCTGGGGTGGAGCAAAGGGGACAGCTACAGCCACTATCATGGTATAAACTGGGAGAAAATATTACTGTAAAATAATGTGATTTATTTACCGAGGCTGAGTCTAATTATTTCTATCCTAGGGATTTTAATTATTTTTCATAAATTAATTTTTACTTTATATAAATATTATTTAATATTTATTGTTTTAAGATTAAAAAATCATTATGTTTACTATCCCGATTTCTCAGTATGCCATCTCAAAAAGTTGTCAAATTTTACTATTGGACCCTATGGGAATTAGTTGGAAAAGCACAAAATTATCACATTTTTTCATTATTTTTGGTATTTCTGCCCTAAAGATTTCTTTTTCAGTCAAGTAGATGTAAGTTTTTGTAAAAAGTCACCAAATTGTAAAATTTTAAAAAGTTGACCATCTAGGCTGGTCTAGGAATTAATTTCAAAGTCTATTTTTCAATGTCCAATACCTCTAAAATTGCCATAATGTATAAAACATATCCTTGCAGATGTATTATGGGAACAGATGAATTTTTTGGTAAAAAATAGCAATGTTTAGATTGCTAGATGTTTATTTTGATGTTCTGACATCAGTTTTGAGTATTATTTCCATGGAGGTCTTGAACATACAAGCGAGTCATGTGTCATTCTTCAGCGTCATGTATTGTTTACAAAATCAGACCACAATGAGGTCGTTAATAGCAATTTCAGCGTTAAATTAGTAATTTTTGTCGTAAAATAACATTTTCAGACCAGTTGGCGTTACAGATAATATTAATTTTGTATTCAAATTACAATATTTTGGAAAGGTGTACTGTCGCAAATATGACTGCATGAAATTAAAAAGCTGCGCAAAGTCATGCTCACTTGAATTAGACTCAGCCTAGTGAAGGAATCACTATCTGGTTAGTATAATATACCAGAGCATTTTCCCTGGCATAACTGTACTAACTATAGACAGTGATTCCTTATATTTCCATTTCATTGTGAAATAAAATTGTAGATTTAGATTTTAAATGTAGACTATTAATAGATTTAAATTACAAGAGGCCTCCCATGTGAATTTCAATGGTCCTCGCCCACTGTTATCAAACACAAAGACAGCTGCATGAGAGTTACATGATTTACAGATTTTGGCCTTCTTAGCACCTGACCTATCGATTTGCCTAATTTACATTCTGGTAGAATTGTCAAGAAATCAACTCCACTAACTGGTAGAATTATCAAGAAATCAACTCCACTAACTTTCAAAAAGTTATCACAGAGAAAACAAATAGAAATGGAAATATTGTAGTCATAAATGAAAGATTAAAAAAGACGTCACATCTGTGGAGAAAATTAAATATTTGTGTTGAGATTTTGATCATCCTTTACAGGTCCTTGGTGACACGTGCACAAGAGGCTGCAGGTTTTGTTCAGTGAAGACGGCCAGGAACCCCCCTCCCCCTGATCCTCTGGAACCTGTCAACACAGCCAAAGCCATCACATCCTGGGGGTTAGATTATGTAGTGCTGACCTCAGTGGACAGGGATGGTAGATATAGTCTTTATCAGTACAATTATAGCCAACTTTCATGATTGGTTATAAGTTATATGTTTTTATACCCATGAAAAAGATACTGTAAACAAACTATTCTGGGACTATGAATTGTCATCTTTTATTGGCAATTTTGAACAAAAAAGTAATTTAATGCTGCCAGCTGCCTGCTCTATATTTTAAAAATTTAAACAGTTTTCATTGAAATTTCATGAGATTGTAATTCTTTGACAAATCCTTAGCAAAATGAATGGTTCGCGGCGATTAATATTTGCGAGTTAAAGGAGGTCGCGGAAATCACGGATATTTCTCGCACGTGAATAAAAGTTGGTTGACAGTATCCTTAGAAATTTTTGAACCAGTGAAGTAGCTCTGGGACTATGAATAATTCTCATATTTAAGAAAAAATATGGTGAATTTTGAACAGAAAAGTAATTTAATGCTGCCAGCCGCCTGCTCTATATATTAAAAATTTAAACAGTTTTCATTTTTCATTGAAATTTCATGAAACTGTAATTTATTGATTGAATTGAAAAAGATAGATCTTAATGAAAAATGGATCCTGTGTTAGCATTTTGATTATTTGAAATTGTCATAAAAAAATCAAATCAAAGTCATGACATATTTTCACCTTTTCAAATGACATCAATTTTACAGAGAGTGTGCTATGTGGAATGGTTAATAAAATATTCTACCTTACAGATCTCCCTGATGGTGGAGCTGCACACTTTGCTGAAACTGTGAGGGAAATCAAAAAAGGGTGACTATTTTATATCAAAATCTAATGTTCTAGAAATTGTTTCGATGAAAATTGTAAGATTTTGTGTTTCATTAAAAAATTAAAATATATTAATTGGTGTATTTGGGTAATTGTAGAAAGTCAGAAATCCTAGTGGAGTGCTTGACCCCTGACTTTCGTGGTGACCTGGGCTGTGTAGCCACCGTGGCAGATTCAGGGTTAGATGTCTACGCCCACAATGTGGAGACAGTGGAGGACCTTCAGTGGTAAGATGTCAATCATTGTAGTATTGTATGAGTAGAATTTTAGCAAGACATAAATTTAGCAATTTTTCTTAGAAATTTAGTATTTGATTTTAGCAAGAAATAATTTTATTGATTATGTGTTGTCTTAAAAGATAATATTATACTCTAATGTAAATTAGTTGAAACTGATTGGTCGAGAAACATTTATTAAAAAACACTATTACCTGCTGAGTAATGAAGCCACGCCCTCCAGTGTAGCAACAGTCAACTTTGCTAAAATTGCCAAAATTGAGTCCTTGATAAAATTTGTTTATATTGTATTCAGAATAATGTGGTTTGACTTTAGCAGTTTATTTTCATTCAAGATAATAACTGAAATAGTTATCATTCTCTCCTATATGCAATATTTAATAAATTCTCAAATGTAGGAAAATTGAAAAATTTTCAATATTGAAAATCAACATTATAAAAGTGATTTTGATTTGTATTCAGAATAATGTGGTTTAACTGTGATTTAATTAAATAATACCTTTATTTCATACCTCTATTAAAGAATATGCAGGAAACAGTTGTTGTTGTAGCTAAATTGATTATTAGAAGTATTTATTTTATTTGACATATTTATTTTATTTCAAAGGTTGGTCAGAGATCCAAGAGCCAATTATAAACAGTCCCTAAGTGTACTCAAGTTTGTGAAGTCACATAAACCTGATCTTGTTACTAAGACCTCCATAATGCTAGGACTGGGGGAGACTGATGACCAGATTATGAGAGTCCTGGAGGGTAAGTGACCGATTACTGCTGGAGAATAGAAAGTTAATGAAGGAAATGAAAATATCAAAGAAAATGTATTAAACAGTAATAAATGTGTACAGTTTTGAAGCAAAAGAAGAGAAATTTGAAACATAACTTGCTGTATATATACAGATTTAAGGAAGATAGATGTTGATTGTGTGACCTTGGGACAGTACATGCAGCCCACAAAGCGGCATCTGAAGGTCAAAGAGTACGTCCATCCTGACAAGTATAAGTACTGGGAGGAGGTGGGCAATAAACTGGGCTTTGCTTACACAGCAAGTGGGCCGCTGGTCAGATCCTCATATAAAGCAGGTTTGTGTGTCTATGGCTGCAAATTTTTAGATTATTACAAAGAATCCATTTCATTTCTCTGAAAATTACACTTTAAAATGTGTTGATTATTAGCGGTTATATATGTTGGAGAGCAATTGTTTGCCATTTGAATACTTTTTCATCATTTTAGCAATAGTTTCCTCAGTAGAAGTGAAAGAGATATGAAAATGACAGATTATTGATTTATTTTAGGGGAGTTTTACCTGAAAAATCTACTGAAATCAAGAAAAGAACTCTCTATATCTGCTGAGATGGTGACATAAGCATTAATTTTTACTTCAATTTGTTTTTATCAAGTGTAATATTTATTGTCAAGGGACATAACCCTTACTTGTGCAAGATGAATGGAAATTTATGTGTCATTTGAGAAAAATCGGATTCATTTAAAAATAACTGGTAAAGGTGCACATTTAAAGTATTATTGTTATTGTGACAGAAAGAATCTCTCTTAATTTATCTGTTAAGTGTCAGAATAAACCAATTGTTTAACCAAATATTTTAACATGTAGAGATTTATATGTTAATTGTTGATTTACTACCTGAAAACATTTTAGTTTGAAAATAAACACTAAAAATCTCATTGACAGTGTTCCTTAATGATGACTTGTGTCTAGATTTTGACATGTTACCTTGCAATATTGTGATATTACGCTAAATGTTAGAAAATTAAACTTTACGGAAAAAATTTAATAGCTACCCAGGTTAAACTTGAATCTTTGATGCTTCAGATCAGTTTATACAGTAAATCTTGGGTATGATAGCTAATATTTACATTTTTATAAGTGTAGTTTTCCTTAGGAATTCTTTCATTTCATTTATTATTCATCTTTTCTTGATAAAGTCTACCATGGATGCATTTCAATATACTATCTCCATTGTTATGTCACAATACCACACTTAACATAAGACTATAGTGCTAACTGTTTTGCTTTAAAAATGACAGTTGAATGGCGTAAATTTGTGGCTACTCATCAGAAAAATAATGTAAATATAAGAAATGAATTTAATTTTTGAAGATTCATGAGGTATATGAACTACAACGCTTCACGCTGGCATATTCATCGTGAAGTGCTAACCTCATCATAATCTCATGAATCTTCAGAGATTACTATATAATACAACATTACACTCTGAAAGTATCTCGGGGAAAAAACAGTCCTGAACTATTTTAATGACCCAAACTCATAGCTGCTAGCTTGTTTTATTTCTAAAAGAATGAGTGCACTTAATACGTATTTAAACTATCGCTATCTTTTTGCTTAACATTCAATATATGATAAATTAATCTATGATTAATGTGCAAGCATATGCTTTTGATATTTATTTCTAAAATTTTTTGTCATACATATTTTTATATAACAGAAAATGTAATTGAAAAGAACATGTAAAAGCCTTATGTGGCAAATTTGAATCGGGATGATTACATATATGTAAATCATTTAAACCGCATGGTTGTGGAATGTAAACATTAGCACATATGATTTTTTCGCATTGCGAATTGAAATGGAGAAGAGAGAGAGAGATCGTGTTGATTTGTTGATTTCATGGTGCACAATTATTAAATGATTCTAATGTTAAGGGATGGGGTAAACTGTGCAATCATAATATGAGGCGACATAAGCCTATACATGTACTTACTAATGACACTGTCAACGCCAGAATTCTTTCAAAACACCCCTATTGAAAAGCATAAAGATAAATAAGAGACATGTTATTCTCAAACCTTGTAAAGGCAAAAATCTCCCATAGTTTGAAGTTGGAAGTACATAGATAATGTCACAACAGAGACATGAAACACAATGAAATTTTCAAAATTTCAGTCAGAAGGTCATAAAAGGTGATTATAATATCAACTTGAAAATTAACATGAAACAGTTAAAAAATATTGTCTAATTTCACTTTTTTAAAAACTTTAGCCGCAACTTGGCCAACATTGTCCCTTGGATATGTATAAGTTTAAGTTAAAAAATATTCTGTGCAAATGAAAAATGGCCAAGTTGGGGACTGTAAACAAAGTCGTTGAAAACTGGTATGCATATGAATAACAATAGAAATGAGACAAAACTGTGCCTCGTCTCCACACTAGTGTATATTATTTAATAATTTCATTGTAATATAATATACCAAAACCTGCTCTTTAGACATTGTTTATTACCTATAACATTAAAACATAAATTTAATGAATTTTGGACATTTTTTTTGTGCAAAACACGATCTGTTAGTAAGGTGCATAATTTTTATAACATCTTGATGTTAAAGTATGTATTGAACAAGTAAGATTATTGTCATGTAACAAAATTGCAATTATGAAAATATAACTCTGGTCCACAAATGATTGCAAACATGTAGTTTGATCTTGAATTGAAAAGGTACATGTATCCATAAATAGAGATGTACAATTAATCTTGCACTTTATACTGTTCTACTTAAAAATAAAATGAAACTGTGTAAAAAACACTATAACACTTTTTATAAAACTTTATGACACATTGTGTAAAAAAGCTTTTGATTTTTTTCCACTTGCACCACTGAGAGTATTAAAGCCTGTGTAATTATTTACAATGGAAAACTAACATCCCATCACTAGCAAAGAAATAATGTATGCTGCATACTCTCAACTGTGGAAAATATGCATGTTCCTACTTTTTTACAGCCATATAATTCAAGATGTACAATTAATATTGATTTGACTTTTCCATAAAATCTTTGTTTAATACAAATCTCATCATTTCACATTTTAATCGATTAATTATTTGAATACCAGTATTAAAGCCTGTGTAATTATTTACAATAGAAAACTAGCATCCCATCACTTGCAAAGAACTATGCAATTAAGGGGGATATCCACCTATATTTTCCACTGAAACACAAAAAGCATCATTATATTCTGAATTAGTCTTGGATATGAATTAATGTTTCTTAAATCTTTTCTCATGTTTTATGCATATAAAATTAAGATGTTTTAAAAATATTTTCTGTTTTCCGTTGATTTCTATAGTGAAAAACACAAATTTTAGAGTTATCTCTCATTTTCCCAAATAAGAAATGTTTTATGAAAATCCACATAAATATCAATATATATATTAAAAATCATTCGAATATCTTAACTTTTGAAAATTGACTTGGAGGTAGGCAGGAGAACAATACTATCGTTCACAGTTCTTTTACACACTACAACAGAGTTCCTCTGAATGATGAAAAAATTTCCTCGTGTCTTTTTAAAAATTTTTTTCATTGAACATGAGGTTCTATCCAATTCTTCACGCATAAATATCTTACATTATAAACCATGAATAATAATAATGAAACAAATTGATCTTTTTCACACACCATTTTTATTTCTATGGAAACATATCTTAACGGCATGTATGGATGTAAGTTGCATTCATCATAAAATATATAATACTTGTATTTATATAACAAAATATTGTGTCAACTCCCCACTCTTAATGCTCACTCACTAATGCTTAAAAAGCTGCTACATGTACCAAAAATATTGATCTCTATTTTGTAGTGATGTGTATTTGCGTAATTTGCAGGTGTCTTTGCGTGGAATGACCTAGAGTTACCCCCCTTGGAATGATTTTAGTTGATATGGTCTGTTTAGTTGTGTTGCAATAAATTTTATATAAACTTTTATAAAATCAAATTGTTGCATGAGTTTGAACATTAAATGTGTGATTAACTAAAAATGTAATAAATAGCACACACTCATACAGACAAGACTCGCACATCACAGTTTATTCCCTTTCACACAAGTCCCTCATCTATAAAGTTCTTAACAGCTTATACATAAACAACCCAATCACAAACTCCTGATAACTATATGGGTCAAGTCTGTACAGTTTGAGCTTTGTTTGACAGCACCATCTTAACAATGATTTGCAGTACCTTTTGTGGCGTGTGGAGAGATATTGTCAATATCGATAGGAGCTTACACAGCAACTTGTGCAGTTACACACCTTTGTTCAATGTATTATAATAACTTGCATCCAATGTACTGTGCATCATCTACTATAATGTAAAACCTCACAGCGAGATCATTCCTGTACACTTGGTATTTCATACAGATAAACAGTATGAATTTTGTATTCACACATTGTACAATTCATTGACCAGCAATGTCTTGGGAGATTCCAAAAGCGCCACAACTTTGTCATTACGAAAGTCTGGAATCGGTCCTCAGCGAAATCACATTTTGATTCTGCAGCCATCAGCTGCCGGTACTGCATATGCCAGTCATATATCACACAGAAATATAGCACTTTGTCACGTTGGGAGCTCTAGCCTCAGTGTTTCTCCGGAATGCTCAGTTTAAGAGCTGCTATTTGTTCCTCACCGAGAGCTATTTTATCCACCAGCTCCTGTTTTTCTATTGTCAGTTTTGATTTCATTTTGACATAATACTTGTAGTCCGCGAACTCCTCTTCACTCAGTGCCTCCTGTAGGAACACCTCGATCTGTTCGCTACGCTTTTCTATGTCCGCCTTTAAAACCTTGGCATCTTCATGCTGCTGTTTCACTCTGTCTCGTTTCTCAACAGCCATTTTCTAAAAGGAAACACATTTGAAATTTTAAACATTTTTAAAACTCTTCAATGCTTATCTATTCCAACATTTGATAATTTTAATTACTGTAGATTACTAAATTTTTGCGACACACATTTTTTGCGCGCTGCCGATAGTCATTGACATATATCACACAAAAATTAACGACACAATGTTTTTGCGAATAGTGGTTATTGCTCTATATAATCTTAAGGAATACTATTATACGCGAGAATTAAATTTTTGCGTCCGGCTTTAAAACATTGTCTTCATGCTGCTAATTCTGTCCCGCTTATCAACAGCCATTTTCTAAAATGAAAGATATTTTTTAATTCTTTTAACGCAAATAAAAAGTGATTAACAGTAATCTAGACAACAGCTGTTGAAGATATCTGATATGAGTTATTCCCCTTACTTTAAGGCGTTCGTTGGTGTCCTTGGGTAGACTCTGGAGGGAATTCTCCGCTCGCGCCAACAAACCCGAGACCTTCAGCAGTAGGAGAATAATTTTCTCCATGTCTCCAATGTACGTCTTAAACTTGTCCTTCTCATGCTGTGTTTTGCAATTCTTATCTACAGCTTTCTGTACCTAAAATAGAAATTAAAAATATTCATTTCAAAAATATGATTTTCAATATGATTATACAATGCAGATAAATAATGGAATTTTCCTAAAGTTCTTAGTCATGATTGAAATATAGTTTTCAAGGAAGGAAGCAGACTAAAGAGGCATGTAATTCAATTGTAACAACACACCTCAATACAACTGTAGGAATAAAAATTTTAATTTTATTTTAAGTTCAATTCTTATTTTTGGATATCATATAGCATGTATAGGTTGTACAATGTATAGCAACACCTGACCATGTGGAACAGATTCTTCTAGATCAAATTTTGTAACTGAATGTGTCGTATTTATACACTTATATTTAGCACATTTCAGAAAGTGCTAAATCAAATCTACCATGACTTGTAAAATCAATTTCTTTTAATATCGTGCATGCTCATGGAAACAATTACTAAGGTGTAAAAATAGATGTAAAATCTCTGATAATTTAACAAAAGGCTTTTGATGAGGAATGCTTGTGACTATGGTACTTGTTATTTTGACTGTTAAAAAAAACCCTAATTATGGAACCAAAAAAGTAACTTCACTGTGGTAAAAAAATACCCCCTAATTTATGGACCTCAACAGTAATTTGAATGCATTACCTCTATCCCCAGGGATTCTGTTTCCTCCAACTCTTTTGTCACTTCTTCTTTCTCTTCCTTCAGTTTATCCATCTTCTTCTGGATGCTTTCAACAAGCTCTTCCTACAAACGCAATGTACCCAGACCTCAGACACTAACAACAATTATTTTTCAATTGAAAGACAAAAATCATTCATTATTTGTACCATAATAGATTTAACTGACCTTTGTTTTGATTAACTTGTCAGAATCGTCAATATCTTTGGTCATGTCTCGCCCGATGCCCTCGCTCTGCCGGATATTCATCTCAATGAGGGCCTTGGACGGGGACACCCAGTAGTTAGCGGGTAGAGGCGACTTCTCCCTAAAAAAAGATAAACATGAACCTGATTATCACCAGTAACATATAATCTGTAAGGTGATCATATTATTTTCTCTGTGGTACCTTGATTGCTCAGCTTCCATGTTGGTTTTCTATTTGACCATAACAGCGCAGTGTTTGACCACAGTGACCAATATTTAAACTAACAGAGAGCCTGTGTTGGGATTATCACATGCCAGCTGAGTGAGCTGTCCAATTATCCTGGTTTTACAGGGCTATTATGACATTATATCCTACACTTCACAGTCATTAAGGATTTCACGAATAGCTAATAATATTTCAATCCATTCATTGATCTTCATCATTCACTATATACTCGGAAATGTAAGCATTTGTTTATTCACAGGACTAGTACATAGCAATAAATCAGGATTTGTATTTGAATAGGAAATTGGTATTATGCATGATTCTCAAAACTTGTCTAATATGAGTACTAAATGCACTGTTGTGTTCAGGAAAAATAAGAATTAATTACCTATAGTACTTTAACTTTACAACTGAAAATTATTCAATTTAATATATATATTATATATATAACATGGTAAATTCCAATTCATTTCTTTGAAAACCAATATATACTCCACTTCAAGCTTTTAAAGAGGAACTTAGAATAATTAGATTTCATATGGTTTGTTGAATAAAAGAGGAAGGGGGGGGGAAGAAAAAAAATGCAAATAAATTTCTACAAGTTCAAGTATTCAACTTACTCTTCTTGTTTCTCTTCCTTGTTAGGTGTCACACTCTTCAGTGCCTCTTGATCTTTACTCACGCTGGAAGACTTGGGGGAAGTTTTCGGAGATCGCCGAGCAATTAAGTCTTGATCGATTTCCGTCTGGAAAAGTCCATCCATATACTGCATTCTACCACCATCATTCTTCAGCATGCTGGACAGTTTGGGGTCCTTTTCTCCATAAAACTGGGCAAATTCCTTCACTTTGGCATCACACTCCAATTCCTCTTGAGAGCGCTGCCGACTGTGGTGAATCAAGTCACTATCACTGTTCTTTGCTGAAGGACTAGATGTTTCTGTTGAATTAGACTGGCTTGGAGATTGCCTAATGGAATCACTGAAAGACATTTTGGTATTAGAGCTGTTGGAGTCATTTGCACTCTGCCCATTAGATTCCCTATTTTTCACTCTGCGCCCGCCTGGGTACCCACTCCCAGGGCTCCTGTCCACTGGTGGTGGGCCCGCATCACTGGTGGAAACAGAAGAACTTTGGTCCGGAGAGTAGGCCCTCCTGCTAGCACTAGAATCTGGAGATTTCACACTAGACTTGGGTCCTAACTGAATTTCACTCACACTTGCACTGAATTTGTCTGTTTCAAATGTCTTCCTCGGAGGTGTTGATGTGAATGACTTTGAGAGGTTTTCCAGTGGTCTCTTGTGAGAGGGACCCTGAGGGGTTACTTGTCTAATTTCTGGCCTCTCCCTGGATAGACTCTGTTTCCTTTCAATGGATGAAATCCTGTCTTGGACAGACTGTCTCTCGGTGGGATGACCTGACACAGAGTTCGGTTCAGAAGACGTCACATTGAAACTGTTACTCCTGTTGGATTCTGGAGTGGTGTAAGGCTTGGGTGCCAGTAAATGACTAGAGCTGTGGGCGGAGACTAACGGTCTCGGGGGTCGCTCAGACAGGACGGGGTCTTTATAAGGAACCTCCGTCTGCTCCGGAATCTGGTCGCCCTGATTGACCGTCTGCTCACTCTTCCAGGGCTGTAGTCTTTTTCTGGGAGGCTTCTGAATATCCCCCTGCTGCTTGTAGTTGTTGTTTTCATGTAGAAGTTTCAGAGCATCACCAGAGGAGGCTGATCTTTTGTAGACCCCGGGCTGTCGATCATTTCGACTCTTGTAAGACGCAAAGGAATCTTCTGCATATCTGGAATATAAATTCACACAATTAGGTAATGTGTCTTTGCTCATCATGCATTTGACACTGTCTACAGGATCTCATTCAGATCATTATAAACATGTATCAGTATGAATCAAAATTCCCATCATCCATCACTGCACTAGTTGTAAACAAATACATGTTCAACAGGTTAATCACTAGAAATAGCAGTTTGCTGTCTGATTTAGTGCAACAGCATGGATTAAAAGTGACAGTTGTGTGCAATACTCCACATCCACCATCTACCTCATGGCATGTTTGAAAAATACTAACATTCATTTGCTAGAAGCCTTCTATAATGTTTCTAAACAGAGCTAGATGCTAAGATAAAGTAAATATGACATTTAAGCTTTTTTCCATTTTTTTTTCTTTTACAGCCTAGAGAACTGAATCTAATACAATTACATAATAATGAACAGTTTCTGCTACCTAAAATTTAAATATTTTCAAGAGGGGTTTTAAAAAAAAATTTTTTTACTGTATTAAAAATTCTTTGTGCAGTCATCTGTAATTATCTTGAGTGTCAAAAATGTGCTTTAAATGCATGGGAAATTGGTCCTGATAATGGATTTTACTTACTTGAATCCCCACCGCTGATATCTGTACATAACTAGGATTTTACCTATCTCTCAAATGATCATGGACATATAGAACACAGGGGTATATAAAATCAACAGGCATAATATACAGTCTCCTCAGTCATTAGTGAAGGCAATTCACACACAGGATCAGGAATAAAACTCTAATCCCCTTATCTCCCTAATAATCAAAATGTTCTGGGATGGAAAATTCTAAAAGAGGTTCCATTCCCTCACTGGTAAAATCAGACCTAAACTTCCACAGAATTTAGTCGGTCATCCATCTTTACATTGCTTCCCAGGGGTGCGTTTAACACAGTCAGTTTGTGACCTGTGACCTCTACATAAACACACATACCAGTGTTACCCAGGGGGAGAGCTAGTAATGATTCAGTGATCAAGTCCATAAACAGCTCATAAAAATCTCCCATGGATACCAAGTTCTACCACAGCCACTAATTTTGGTCACATTAACACAGTTAAGGTGGTCATTTCCTCAACTTTTATGTTTCTGTCATCCCAGATTTGGCATAATACAACAGTTCATTATGGATATCTCAGTATCTGTTGATCAAAAAAACAAAAAAAAAACTGCTACTCACAGAAAAAAGACAAAAATTGACACACATCCAACTTGTCCTTGATAAATGAACTCTTCCTCTCAATTTATGCTTGAGACACACAGCAAAAAGAGAAAAGATATATATTCCTTATAAAAACCTAGAATTAATGATCCGACACTCTCACTTAGAGAAATTGACCTGACACATCCTCCGATTAATTGCTAAATAATCTTCAAAGGTCTTTTAAAAACTTCACTCTCTGGTGTAAAATCCATGGAAATAGCGCCTTCTCAAGTCATGCAGATGGCTAGCACTTCTTGATAATAGCTTTATGCAAGTTTTTGAATGAATCATAAAATGTTCCAGATAAATGTAAGAGAAGTTGACTGTTAATTTCCACAGGATGGTAAGATGCCCCAGGAACATATGTTAAATGTTTCATCCAAACTTATTAGCTTACACGACTCTCCTGTGAACAAAATTCTTCAGAAGATCACTTTGTCCTAATTAAAGAGGGTAATTAGCCATACCCCTGTGTCCTTAAGAATGTCAGGAACAGCTACCAGAAGATGCTAGATTCCCAAGACACAGGGCACATTATAGTACTGGTCTATATATTACCTCTGGTGTTGTAACCATAGCATTTTATTCTCTCAACATGTAGCCAATACACCTGTCCTTTATCGCAACTAAAAAAAACTACATCCTTGCCAAAAAACAAAACAAAAGGCAGCTGTATTCAATGTAGAAAGTCTTTGTCAAATTTATCGACAGCACATGCGGTGTATAAACTCTGGAAGGCCCCTCTTCACCTTGCATCATGTCCAGAGTATGGCAATCTACTACGACAAGCATCAGACACTTCACCCTTGTAAAACAAATGTAGACACCGCTCCTCTCCCAGACAAAACTTCGGGCCCAACCATTATCTATTTTTGCCATCTAAATTTTGTGGTTATTATCAGAGGAACCTAGAGATGTTGATACATTAAGGGAAAGCAATTAAATTTTCCTCTCGGACCAGGGCACATGGGTAACATCTATCTAATTTTGTTTTCTTTTTTTATGTCGGATACTCTTAGGGGAGTTTAGGAGGAACATGATTAGGTTTTGCAATACAAAAAAAAAATATCATTAAGAAAGAGGGGCTGAGCACATCATGTATAAACATCATCAGAAGACAATCGCTGAAAAACACAAAATCCTTATGCTTCATTGGAGTCTAATAAGTGGCAGGATGGAGTTTAAGGCATATGGGATCACTCTTTTCTTTTAAATTTTTTTTTTTAAAGACAGAGATTCTAAAGATATATTTTTTTTGCAGGTATTGTCTTTCAAAGTACATACATGTTTATCCTCTGTATTATAAATCTTAATGTATGGATGCAATTGCTAACTATAAAGTATGAAGCATTTCATTCCACATTCTGTGAATATACCATTGATGCATATAAATAAATTCTTACACAGACTACAGGACATGTACCCTATAACACCTGAATTTCTACACGATTATGAATCCTATAGTAGTCCTTGTCTGGCGCCTGTGTGTTAAGCTGTTGTAGCTATTTTTAATTTCACTTAAGCACCCTGACATGTCAATTCTTAGCCTTCTCATCATATTAACATTCTTGCCTTTTTCTTCTTTATGAAGAGGTTCATACTCATTTTATAACATGTATCAATGCTATAGAATTTAAAGAAAATAGAAATCAGGAATCATATTAAAGATTTTTAAAAAAAATCCTAGCCTGAATACTCTTAAGTGTCTGAAAAGCAGAATCTATTTATTTAATCTATCTAGGTTAATCTTAAAGCACCCATGTAAACATTTCATTCAAATAAGTATGAAAACTCACCTGATTTTATCCTCCTTGTGTTCTGTTGAGTTCTCCACCACTTCTGGAGGGGGAGGGGGCAGTTCCATCTCCACGCTGACCTCTTTCTGTGGGGTGGGTGGGGGAGGGGGATCTGGGCTGTAGGGGGACGATCGACTGTGCCAGCTCTGACTGGTGGTAGGAATATCCACCCTCAGTCTCTCCTTGGACTCAGGGGAATGGTACGATTTGGTCTCTGGATAATGTTCTGACCGAGACAGGCCCTCACCTTTTGGTGAGATAGGAGGACTGGAGGGAGATGAGGTGTATTTTGATGAGGGCAATGGAGGAACACTGGGAGCACTGTTAGGTGAGGAGGGCTGGTGTCCTCCTGACATGCGACGTGAGGAGAAGAAATGGTCCGAGGAAGATGTGGAGCCACCTGGAGAGGTGGCTTCCAAAGCCTCCACATGCTGCTGTTTGTAAGACTGAGTGAACTGGATGGACGTCTTGGTGGTTTTGTAAATCATTGGCTGAGGCATATGCTGTTGTTCTGAAAGACGTCTGGACTGTTTACGGAGCTGTTCAGCATAGTTATCATCGTCCCATTTCCCGCGAGACTCACTGGAATGGCTGTCATATCCAAAGGACCTGTCTTTAGACAGAGGTTGAGGAATTGGTCTGGGATGTAAGGAAGAATCTGATTGGCTGGCTGAGAACCTCCTGTAATTCCTAGGTGGCAGGGCAGGTGGCTGATCCTCTTCCCCACCAGGGGGCACTGGTGGAGGTGGACGATACCCAACATTTTGGTACAGGGAATTTTTAGTAATTCCACCAGAACTGAAAATATAAATCAAAAAGTAGTCATAATAATTTTATATATAACCCAAAATAAGTCAATGTTCAGAAATTGCAACAAATTTTGTACCTATAAACAGTAAACATTTACTAAAAGTTGGTTGCACTTCATTTGCTAACAACTGCACAACTGAAATGGAGGCAAATACATAGGAGAGGACACTTTAAGGCACTTGACAAACATTTTAAGAACGGGAAAGCGGCCATTGGAGGGCAGTAACATTTTTCATGATTTTTTGCACAAAAACAAGTTATGCACGTCAGTCAGGCATTTCCTGGGGCCGGGCCCTGAATACTGTCTGATGACGACAGAGACAATTGTCCAGCTAAGCTGTGCGGTACTACAGCAGTGGCCAGTTGTGTATCAATTTAATGTCAACACCAAAATCATCAAAGCTGACATGTTATTTCACATTCTACTACAGCAGTGATAGCCTGGGGGCGTAGGTAGGTTAGTGATGAGCCCGGTGTGTGAGACTCTGTAAGAAGAACGGCTCTACCGGAGACTGTGGGAGTCAAAATCACACCTCAAACCACAAAATACTAGTCTCAGTCAGTAGTACTAAAGATTCTCACACAAAGTGTGGATATTGACAGCTAATGCACAGCAGTTACTACATTCAATGATAATAATGTCAAAATAAAAACAACCCAAAACAAAATAACCGCCTTACTTATGATACTGGGTTAGAATCATCCTCTCTTAGTATTCAGAAAAACTTCACTGACCAGTAACTAAATCAAAATTAGTAAATCTCGACACATTTTTGTGGGTGTCAAAAAAAAATCTACGTGTATATAGACAATTTAATTCAAAACATCTAACACTTTGTGAATTTGGATTGTTCTATAAATCTTTTTTAAACTATTAAGCGCATACTTGACAATATGCCAGTAAGTGACTAATTTTTTCTTTAACAGTTCCCAAATAAAGTCAATAGAGAAGTCAGACTATGGATTAAGCTCAGTGAACCATTAAGCAGCCTTATCTTGTGATATAGAGACACCTCATTACTATCATTAAACTATTGTTCCACTTCAATTCCAAATATTTGATAAGTGATATCATCTCCTTTGTCAGGCTGGGTACAAGTGCTTGTTTAAGAGTTGACACTCTATGAAAAATGATAGGTCATGTCTCCTCGAGATTATAATAAACACAGCTACGAAAACCTGAAAAAAACATGATTAATCCTCCTTGTGTCTAGTCAAATGAATGACCATACGACAAACATTTTAGTTTGATGTACACTTTTATATAGGTCAGTCTTATGATATGAAGATGCTTCAAATTCTGAAATACTTTGCATGCATGACCCAAAAAATATTAATCCATCTGCTATTTAACATAAAGCTGATTTACAATGTCCAATAACTCACAAAATATTTACAGCATGAAATCAAATATGTTAATGACTTCTTTATGTAAATGAATTTTTATTGGATGCCTGCATCGTGAAGTTTTTTTTTTGTCCTTCATTCCCGTCATTAATGGCATCTTGATTAGAACAGCTGACTGTATCAGACAAATAATCTTTATCAGTTTGAAAAATTAAAAAAAATTTTTTTTTTAAATAATATCTTTCTCCTTTAGATATTATTTTGGTACATATCTTGCAAAATAAATGTTATTTTGATATTTCTTTTTTGGATTTCCTGAATGATGAAAGTTACTATTTATAGATTCATTACACCTGTCAAAATGCGACCATCAAAAAATATTTGTCTTTAGCAATAAATCTGTAAATAAAAACTGCAATCTATATATATACCCTTCTGGTCCATAACACAAAAGTGATGTCATCACTCGAAGCCTTGCAATCCACAATTAATAATTAATTTCTTCATTTAACAGAAAAAAATCCTAGATCAATACGAATCAGGACTAATGTTAGGAATTATTTTAGTCCATGTCAAAGAGTCGTGAGCGGAAGCAAGCTCCATTTTCTACACGACTGGTGTATAATTGATGTTGTGATGAGTATTGCGATGATTCAGACATTGTTCTTGCGGTCCCTTGATTACCACCGTCTAACCACTACAATACTCCTCCACGGAGATCCATGTCACACACCTATAGTGTCCACTTATCTACACAAACATTGACACCTTTCCCAGGTGAAGTATTAGTGACAATTATCGATCCGTCGCATTCCTGACATTTTTCTGTCAACAGTTGCTGAGGAGAGCAGGACATTTATGATGTCCCAAAGCGAGCCTGCTGCCTCATCAATATTCCGTTTCTCTCATTTCTCGTAACAGATGGATATTTCACATACAAGAACCCTAGAGTTCAGATCAGCTATTACATTCACAAACACATTACAAAACAAAGCTAAAAATTCTGTATCTCCTGATTAGTATGAATCATTAAATCAACATCGGCCTCTTACTCAGAGATATAACCATTGCTGGACCTATCTTATGGAAATATCTTACTTTGCCAATATTTGTTGACTTTGTTTAATTTGCTTTCACAAATATTCATGATTTGGTTTTACCCTAGGCATTCAGAATTGTTTCCGTCCAAGTTACTAATATAAATAAACTATTTATTACCACATTAATTTTGCTATCAAAGCACTTTGGCAAACCTATCTATATATCCAAAACTGCTAATAAATTGTAAAGAAAAAAAAAAGAATTGTTTATTGCTTCTTAACAAGTCCCTCGTGTATAATCAAGAAATTTTTACAAAGTGAAGAAGAAAAAATGCTTTGCCTTCGGCATTAATTACAGATTCTTAGTTTAAGGCGACAATACACAAAACTGGCATACCTGGTGTGTACAAAACTGTATGATCTGCGCTCCTTGAATAATCCCATTTGTGAAATATCTCAAAGTGGATCTTATTTTCATTCACATCCTTATTGTGTACAAACTTTGTAAGGTTTCTTTCTTTTTAAATTCCTTTCGAAGATCAAAAACCAAAATCAGTCTTTCTGCGGAAAAGGTATAAGCACAAAGTCACCCTATCGCCGGATCATCAAATGTTCACTAGCGCGAGTTGGGGACACGTACAGATCTACTTGCATGAGATTACTCAAGATCTACATATCTAACTAACTGGACAGTAACATCGCAACAGGTCAACTGTAAAGAAAAAGTGCCCCTAGGAAAAAACGTTTGTAAGACCCAGTTCGTCAATATTGACAAGTTCATCAAAAGTTGTTGGACACCTGCCCCTATTGTTCTCTTTCTCTGTTTGATCAAGGAATCATTCAATTCTATCAGCTTGAAGGTATATATATGGTATCAAGTCCTAGCGATGGAAAACTTATAATTCATTCCTTTTTTGTGATCTTAACAATCATGACTTTTAAACAGATTAAATTGGAGAAATATTGGTGTTCCCAGTGTTCAGCTAACATAAAGGCCCAGTTTGTCTGATAGGAAATAAATTATGGAAAAATAAACAGAGACAGAGCGGTGTCTTCACATTTAAATTTAAATTCTACTCCTAAAATCCATATAAAGTTCTACACTGTAACACATCCACAAAGATTTCTGGCCAAGATTCAAGTCCAAACTCTGTGTAGTACACTAGTCTTAGGAATGTGGTGCCTCGAAATGCCTGGTCCGGGATTTATATGCCCAGTACAACGGCATTGATCTCCAACATATACAGGATTGAATAGACCCTAAAGTCACGGATAACATACAGATTAAATTGACTCGAAAAACAGGCCAGTTTTTATTCCCTACAAATGTCCTGTTTCACACAGCAATTGAATTAAGGGAGCACATTAACTTGACATGATACATCACATCAGCTCCTCAGCTTAGAATCCTGTCTGCAAACCGTGTCTTCTCAATGGAGAAACTGAAATAACTTCCTCATAATCTAATTACACCCAGTGACCATATATTAAATGCACTGTCTTGTGAATTGTTTGAATTCTTTAGTAAATCTTCCTAACAATCTGAAGATATGGGGAAGTATTTCTGTGAGAGCGTTTTCCCTATAGTCCTATTTGAGATATTACTGCTATATAAACCTGTAATACAATATAATCCCAAGCATTGTCCACTAACAAAAATAGTCATCTAGGGCCGAGATTATCCCCCTACAGAACAAGCTGATAATGGCCTTACATCTTATTTATATGTGAAAAATCTGAGGAATTCCTAAACTGTCTCATCCATAATATAACCCCTGGTAATTACTCTCTTAGAGGCAAAATAAATTAAATCTTTACAACTTTTTCACAAATGACATTGTTGAAATATATTGTATTACTCAATGTCTGAAATTTGTGTCACTGGCATTTTATTACAAGACTGTTTCCCCAATATAAATGTCATTCACTTTTCTCTTATGGGATTACTGTTCACCCAATGAACACTTAATCAAATTTGGGAGTTCAACAAACTAAACAAGTATGACTTCATCTTGGCAATGGGCTACTGATGACTTCAAGTGACTTCACAACTAACACAGTGACCTAACAAAGGGTAATAACCACAACAAAGAAGATACTATTGAGGTGGCCTACGGGACTGCAGATGGTAAAATAAGGCTTAACCTCGCACAGAGAACATTACAAGAAGTCTTTAGAGGGATGCACTTGGCTTTTATATATTGCCTCTTTATGCTTTTGAAGGGTTTCTCTCAGTAAATGCTTGATTTGAGTTGGGAAAACTTTCTACTTCTTTTTCCTCCTTTCAATCACTGAGTTGTCAGTTTACAAGTTTTTGTGGTCAAAGTCTGGATGTTGGTTTAGAAATCAGGTGTATAACGTGATCTTAAATATATACATGTCTCCAAACTTATGAGTCAGCTTCAAGTTTCAGACTAAAGTCCAGCTCTGTTTAACCAGGTTTCTATAATTGATCAGGGCTAGTGTCTAAGAGTCATGTTTATATAATTTTCATAAATTTACTACAGAAGGTCAAAAATTCTACCATACTGACATTGAAATGATAAAAATTTGAGAAACTGTATTGCTGACACACAAATCTTTACAAATATTAACAATACAAATGGAAATTTGTCCCACTATGCAGAATAATGTATATCAGAATCATAAAAAGGGGGATTAAGTTTCAGAGTATCAAAATATCACGCTCTCTTATAGCTACTTCACCTTGTGTATTCAATTGACACAAAAATGTTAAAATGAGGTCATCAGAAACTCACCTGAAAACACAGGTAGATTTTTACCTACCTCCAGACTCTAGGGCGAGGCACAACTGTGTCCAAGTCCCCTGGGTCTCCCCTAACCAGGTAACAGGGATACTCCATAATACATTTCTCCCACAAACCATTCAGTTCAAAAACAGAGACATACCAATCAAACTCTTTACTTACTCCCTCAGAAAAGATAAGACCTGACAGTTGTGTATGTTATTACAGAGTTAATGACAAATACAAAGGTGTTCTGAATGGATTTACTGCTGAACAGGAAAGAGTCCCTCATGCATGACCAATCAGTGGCCTTAGTTCAAGAAACCAGGCTCACAGCATGGGACATACCACAGAAAAACAGATGGTCTAATTATTACCCTGCTGCAATTAATTACAGCAACAGCCGTTACTGGAAATTAAATGGTGCAAACAAGCGATGATTGACATAGAAATATTTATATTTCATGACTCAATATTTCACAGTTATTATTTTACATCTCTGTATCCCTGCTCCTGATACTCTATCTCTATCCCAGCTGTCAACAGTTGAATTTTTGACCTCTGTAGATTCTTCTTGAAGCCTCAAAAGACTATAAAAAAATTCCCTCTTGACCTTAAAATTTTAAATGACAAAACTGTAAGCTAGATTATGTCCTTCTGATAGTTTGATCTGATCATAACAAAAGCTAACATTTTGACATGCCAAAGTCTGGGTCTTCTACAAGCTACATATAATGGCAGGTTTTCTCTGTTTGTTTAATGGCTTTCATTTCTGTATGCAAGCTTGATTCATTACTTTGGAACTTTGGAACAAAACTTTGATCTGCATTAAGCAACAAAATAATCCTTCATAATATATTGCCTCTTATGAAATTATTTATCAAAATCAATTTCACATATTGATATAAATAAATAATATTAAGTAATCAAAGAGGGAAGTCTCTTTAGCCATGTAAAATACTTTGACATGTGCAAAACTTCATCTTTTTTATAGATTTTTAAAACCTAAATTGCTAGATGCTATTATTCTGATGGTTGACACATTTATTACACAGGGCAATGATTATGACCAAACTAATGAAAATACATAATTACACAAAAAACCCACACCAGCTTTTCAGGTAAGCATGCAGGTTCATTAATTACCTAAAAATTAACCAATCACTTATTTCATGTCCTCATTCATCTCTAGCCAGGAAAAGAAAAAATCTCAGGGGACATCCCTACTATTTATATCTCTGAGGGCCCCAATTGTCTATAGTTATAGTATTTGTATTTGACTTTTTCAGACCCTCCATGATACATGTATGATGCTTGAGCTTGATTTATGGTCTGGTCCTGTGAGCTACTGAAATAGGTCATTTGTGACAAGCAATTTTCAGAAGCATGGAAAACTTGCAATCATAATGTTCACAGATTTCTTGGTGAGATAAAAGGAATGACTTGAGCAAGTACTAGATTACATGATGACCCGTTCATGGCTGAGTTCTGATATAAGAGCTCTAGTGGGGACTAGGTCATATAAAGTTTCCTTGTGTGAGCATTCTACCACAGGGTTGTCAAACCCCCTAAACTGGAAATACTGTTGACAAACACACAGGTCACAACAACTTGGTAAACAAACCGGATGACATCAGAGGTGTGCCGCTACATAACTCTGCCATTGAGCCTATCACAGCAAAACACCAAGTACACAGTGCTCAGTACACAGGAATGGTGACATAACGTTTCTCATTGTTAAATATTTAAACACAGTCAATATTTTCAAATCATTTCCTTGCCAAGACATTGTATAAAGTGAAAATGGCCTGTATTGTTAAACAATCATTTTATAATGATTTCAAAGACTGACTGGCCTTTCCCATCAAATGGTACAAACGTAAATAGTTTTATTTTTGTTTCTATTATGTCACATACTTCCTAATATAATTTATCTGTACAAAATCAATATGACACAATCAGAAAGCTTGAATGTAGGTCATTCAACTCAGAATCTTCAGAAATATTGAAAAATCATTTTCAAAATGAGCAAGTATTTTTCATTTGCTTTTGAAATAAGATTTTCCTCCACTAAAAAAAAATAAGCATTCAGTCAACTTATGAAAACATTTTCTCCATACCTTTATACTTATAACTACCCTATGTCTGACCTGGAACCAAAAAATTACAGAGCAGCAGAGATTTAGGGGGGTTGTTATGTTATCAAGGATTACAGGAGACCCGTGATTAGCAGTGATTACAGTCCATGCCTGGCATTCTCTTCATTGTGGTAGATGTCTTATCAGAAGATATGTAAACAGGCCAGGTAAAAAAATAAGTCAGCACACCTGAGTAAGAGTTACCTACCTTTGGTCAGCGCTCTCTTCTGCGTTGTGGTCTGCGACAGAAACTGACCTCACCTGGAAAATATCACAAAAACACAATAATTACCAAAACCCGTGACAACAACGATACATACGACTCTTCTCATCTTCAAATGGCTCTTGAGGTTTTATATTTTTTCATAAACACATGATTGCAATTAACAACACACAGTCAGCTTTAATTGCATTAATTTCACAATATATTAGTTAATTAATGCAGAAGAAGAGATATATATCATATTTCTTTCAGTATATGAAATAAGCTTTCCTTCTATATTTACAATGACTTGACAATGTCTTGAATATGTTTATAAAGATAGAAACGGCCTAATTTTCCATAAATAGTAAAATATTTGATACTACCACGCACAAGGCAAGCATTATTTATCAATTGATGAATATGAATAGAAAATTTTAATCACTGACATTCTGCTTCATAAATAACAACATTTTTATTCAGTTGGTGCATAAAAACATAACTGTTACAACATTAAGTACATGGAATTGTGCATTCACCTAATGACTTTAAACATTTGAGACTTTGTAATGATAATTATACAGATGACACCCACCTCGTCTATGTTAAGCTGCGTCAATGTGTTGGTGGAGTCACTCTGGCTTCGTTGGTGGTGCTCCGTGTCAGGGAATGAGGATAGCGGTGTGACAGCGTACGGATCCACCAGACTGGAATCGGATCCGATCGAGTGGGGGCGGCTTCCTCCGGTCTGAGAGCGGATTCGACTCCATTCCGTCTGCTGTCTCTCAGGCCTCTTCATTTCCATATAGTCTGAATCCCTGGAGGTGATTGACCTTGATCTACGTAAACTCTCTTGTCGCTCGGCCCGGTTGCCATACTTAAGACGGAATGATTCAGATGGGGTGAGTGAAGTTTTACGTGTGGAGTCCGGTCTGGATTCAGGTTCGTCTGGACTTTTACCAGTCACTCTGTCCATGTATTTCTGTACTGCATTTCGCTGTACATCTTTGAGATTGGTGTCTTTATTGAAATCATTTGGAGACTGTGAGGTGGACATATCTGGGTTGTCAGGTGACACACTGTCAGAATCTGAGACATGTCGTTTACTGGGAGACAAACTGCTGCCATCTTTAGGAATGGAATCAGAGGTCGACCTTGGTCGATGATCAAAACTGATATCTGATGCTTCATTAGAAGATAAATCCATCTGAGATTGTATAGGAGATTTGAAATTACTTCTGGAATCATCACTGGTTTTAAATGCACCATTTTCATTGTCCATTTTCCTAGCACTAGTTCTGTCATTGAAGCGATCCTTCATAGGTCTTATTTGTTCCGAGGAAGTTCTCTTCAAATTAGAAGCTGGTAACATACCTTTTGTGGAATAAGCACTTCCCTTATTTCCTGAAAGAACATTTTCATAGTTGGATGTTTTCTCTGCTTGAGATAATTTGGACTTTCTTACGACGTCCTCCCATCGCTGGTCCTGCGTCTTATTTTCCAGAGAGTCCTCTCGAATCAAAGTCATGTGCTTATTCTCTGCATGCATTCTATTGTAGTGATCCATACGCATGTACTCTGATGAAGAATGAGACCTGGTGTGTACAACTGTGGGGGACTGTGTGGAAGACAATGATTCGCTCTCCTGTCTGCGATGAGAATGTTCATCAAACACTCCGTACGCCTTCTTCATGGAAGCACTTCTTCCCATCTGTCGACCTGTACCTAAATCAGCTGGTCGACGTGGACCATCCCCACCCCCAGGGATCAGAGGCGAGGAAGGATCCATGAACACAGAATCTGTGGACTCATGTCTAGGTTTGGAATGACCTAGATGAGAGGACTCAGAACTAAAGCGAGTACTGTTGGAAGAACGCGAGTCTGACGTACTATATGGCATCGAGGGAGATGAATCACTGCCTGGAACACCCCGAGGATACTCCTGTGTATTAAGTACACCCTTGGAACTTTTGTCATGGCCCATTATCAAGCGATTTTGATCTTTATTTAAATCTGATCGACTCCCTGTGTGAAATTGTGGATATTTTGGAGAATACAAGGAAGGGTCTAATCCATGTCTCATATGTTTAGAACGAGATTCTGAGTTAAACACTGAATTCCTTTCACTTTCCAGTCCAGACACGTCATGTCTCGAGTCACTGATGCTGGATCTGGATTCCGCATAGTCCCGTCCAAAAGGCAGGGAATTCTCAGTCGGATGAATCACAACACTATTGTAGGACTCTGCTTCTCTCATGCCCGGGTAATGTACAAACGTAGGTATATCAGACCCAGGGCTACGAATGCTGCTATCCTGGCTAGAGGCAGATGACAGGCGTTTCTCACTTCCATGAAGTTTCCCACCATAGTATTCTTTTGTCAGTTTTCTAAGCATTGGAGCCATGTTACAGGGATAATCTTCAGGAAACCTCTCCTTCTTTTTTGTATCCTGATTCTCTATCCTGTACCTTTGACTGTCTGTCTGTTTGTAGGTGTCACTGTCAGAACTAGACAACCTTGCCTGAATTGATTTTTCCTGGAAGTACCTATCCCCACTGGAAGAAATATCTGGAGATTTATTATCAGTTTGTGTTCCTGTGTTGTAACACACCATTTGTTTCACTACATAAGTCCTTGGTGGCTCAAATCGAAGTGAGCTACTACTAACACTCTTCCCTTCACTACCCAATGGATTTGTTCCTGTATCCACCAAACCACGTACGCCAGGGCTAGTAAAATTGCTCTGTTTTTTATAGTCCTGATTGGGACTGTCATTATAAAATGAGGAATCATGACTTTTTATATCACTATGGTAACCACTACTGCTCCCATGCCAGGAATCATGATGATGAGGTCCGACAATGGAAGCTATTTTTTCTGACAAAGTCTTCTCGTCTGGAGCTCGACTTTCCCGCTCGGGCGGTGACGGAATGTTGTACTTTTCATCTCCAATACGATTCCCATCCTGATCCATCATTGGATGTGGATACCCAGGACTAGAACTGAAAAACTGTTCCATTTGACTTTCTGCACTCCTTTTTGATTCTAAATTTCTCGTTCTCTTTTCTTGATCACTTGGAGTAGGACGTTTCATAAAACGGGATAATGAAGTCTGTTTCTTAAAACCAGGGTCACTTGCATTTCTCTTATAATCATCCCCACCCTTTCTTTCACTACTTGGACTATTTCGTTCATTCACAGGCCCAAGTTGAGGGTGGTATGCATGTTTTAATGTGGGAGAATTGATAGGTTCTCCGGGTTCACTCTCAATATTTGGTTGGGTTACAGGCCAGGAAGGGTACTTTTCGTGAGCCTGAGGTTTACTTCCGTACTGTAGACTTGACACGTCCCTTACCGGAGGTGCGGGAGGTGAACACGCAGGACGGGGGTCGTACGGTTCTCTTGGAGGTCGTTGTGTCAGTTTTTGCAGCTCCAGATCAGCTGGATCAACCTCAGCTTGTGACGATACCTCATTAATGTTCTGATAATCATGCAAGTCTGATTTAAAAGGTTTGTTATTGGATGGCAGTGACTGCCTTATGTCCTTCATTCTGTCATCAGAATGCCCTCCTGTATAATCTGTATTGTGAGGCCACGCTATCTTCTTAAACCCTTTGGGGAAAAAAAATGGCTGGTGTGCTGGGCTACGAGGAGACAGGGGTTGGGAGTGATTGTTGACCTCTGAGGTTGATTTGTGAAGGTCAAGCCTTGGTGATGGTGGCTTCTTCTGAGAAGGTTCAGCCATAGCTAGACTAGGGGAGGAGGAGGCGGGAGACAGGCGTCCTAGGCGTGTGTCCGCCATGTGAATGTCCACATGGCTACCATTGGTAGTGTCCACTCTGGAGGAAGGCCGCTGTTTTTGTGACAAATCCTGAAATTTATGAAAAAAATACATTCAATTATTTTTTCACTCCAAGTCTAATATCATGAATCTTTCATCCTTTTTTTTCCCTTAATTTTTTTTTCAGAGAGACTAGTTTTACATGCATCTCCTCTTGCCACATTATAGTACAGGGTAAATAATTAAAAAATTTTGTCAAACTCTTTCATGTTTGAATAAATTAAATGAATTCTTCCTGGAAGAAAATTTGTCCTTCCCCATATGCTTACCTGAACTGTGTTCCATCCTTTCATAGACATAAGTCCTCTGGAAGACTCTTCATTCTGTGTTCCTCGACTGGAAGGCCGCTGACTTGACCCGGCGGAAGATGTACTGTTTCCAGATGAATGTCGCTGTTTGTTTGGTAAAATGTCTGTATTTCTAGAGGTGTGTAAAGAATGTAGTGGTAAACTGTGTCTACCTGGTGTCACAGTATGGCTGTGTGTCAAAGGGGAGGTGGATCCAAAGGAGTGACGATTCTTGCTGGATGTAGGTTCTCTTGGAGACGAGTTATGCGAGGACAATGAAATGGAACTGGAAGAAAGGTGATTCCGGACTTTCAGGGGTGGATCTTGATGTGGCGATGTATTTAGTGCATTTGATGAGGAATGCCTTGTCTTGCTTCTTCCACTGAAAAGAAAAAAAAGAGACTTGGTCAATAATCAATATGATATATATCAGCCATATATCTGGAACTAACAAAGGTCATTGCTGTCCATTATCTGTCTCTTTATTCTGTCACCAGTTACTGATATTATTTCCACAGTTTGGTAATCCATTTGGTATGTGGAATTTTGACACTTGCTAGCAATGGTCGCCTTTACCTTGGTGTTTGTGAATGAGAATCAATCTATTCACTTGAATCATACCTTGACGAATTATGCAACACGAAAAAGGAGACACCTAATTCTTTGTGGGATAGATACTAATTAATTATCTCACATATCAGCTCTGCACACAAACCAGTGTGCAAACCTCTAACATGTAATATCCTGCAGACCTCAATTCATGTCATTTAAATGCAAAAATTCAAAAGCCCTGCAATATAAAGCTTTAAAATATTTCAAGAACTTATGAAAATCTAAAAGCTCCCATAAAATCCTTTGGACAAATCTTGTTTTATAATGTCAAAGAATTAGAAAATGCTGCATGCCATTGAAGGAGGATTATGAGTGAAAAACATTAAAAACCACATTTTCTACAATTATACCACTATACTCAGTTCTACAAAGAAAGAAAAAATTTAAATCTGGAACAAGACACCAACACAATTCCTAAAACTGACCCTAAAGGCAAACCCCACATAGATTCATCTTAATGAAATCATCAGGTTGGCATTTCAGAAAATCCTAATGCTTTGACAGTTAAATGATATTTGATACTTAAAGTTTTCTGAACTGTCAAAGTAAAATGCTCCTTAATTTGTTGTCCAGACTAAGTATGTCCCTAATTCTACTTTGGGTAAATAAGTACTGGTTATTCAAAAATTGTGGCTAACTGGAAAGTGAAACTATGTTTAACTCAGACCCATTTCAATGGGGAATTTTAATTTAAAAAATGGTAAATATTAAAATACATGTTCAGCCAATTAATATAATTTGTTTTTATTGTACATAAAAGTTTATATAAAAAGCTTAAAAATTCTCATCTTCATGGAAATAATCTCAAAATTCAAGGTTTTTTCAAGCAATAAAAATTCAAAATGCTTGTCAGTGTAAATTTTTACCCTAGTTTGAGCAGAAAAAAATTAATTTTTAATTGGGGTTTTGTCCTTTTATTGGACTTACATCCAAGGATATTAAGTCTGGGGTAGCTCTTTATTTTATTCTGTGTCAGCAGGATTGAATCGGTGATTACATTATAAATCAGGATCTGTCTGCCAAGGTTGGTAATACATACTACAGTAAGTAATTACCGGTAACAGTTCTTCTGTGCCAATTGCAAGACATGACTCACCTACCTAGAACTGTCACACTAACACAAATGACAACATTGTACAAAGAAAAAAGAAAGTTGTTCAAACTGATTTCTTAATGTCTGAAAAGTTCTAGCTCTCTTCCTGAGATTTTTAAATAATCCCCATACCAAATGGCACTGCCACATCACTATTCTATGTTCTTAATAGCCTTTGAACAAAGAGAAATGTTTATTTGTTTTATTTAATAATAAATATTTTAAAATTTTTTTTAAATTAAATGCATACTCACAAAAATATTATCCTGTTGAAAAAGTATTAGGAGCTGAGAATCATTAGCTAAAAAACACAAAGCAAATTCTCCTAAACTTTACCTCACCACAACTAATCATCTTCCTAATTCCCTGACAAAATCTAAACAAATATTTCACAGTTTGTTTTGACAAGGAAAAGATATGCATCAAATGTCTGAAAAGAGAGAAATTTGTTTTGATGTGGAGCCTTTGCCTCCAAAAACAATGTTTATCAATATCCTCAGGTCATGTGTACTAGTGATATAATCTGGTGCAGTGCAAGGAGAAATTTTATAATAAATGGTTGACCACTGGGCCAATTTGACACTGATAGACCATTATCAACAAAAAAGGTATATAGCAAGGGGACCCCCTATGAGCTTTACATTCTATACATTCGTACAATCTGACAAACTAATTATTAAGTAAAGGCTTTATTTCTTACATAACACCTACATATTTGACATAAAGGAAGGAAAAACCCAAACACATTTATATTCAACAAAAGTCCTTAGGTGCCCAATCCACAAATTACATGCTTAAACACATCAATCTAACATAAATATAAGGAAACTTAAAACACAGCTGATGTAATGAAACAGAAAATAATATATGTACTTAGTCAAATGCCACCTTAAACATTGTCATGCCATTTTAAAATGCAAATTAATTATAAGTTCCTTATTGCCTAATACACTAGAAATCATGTTCCAGATTTTAGTACTTACCGGTAATTCAAATGTCAAGTGACCTAAATGTGGGTCACAAGAATTATTTTTCTCACTTGTAATAATTTTCTTAAAAGGTTTAACATTGAAATATCTTGTAACTTGAACAGTGGCACAAATATTTGGACCGTTATACAATCTTTGGGATATACAAGGTAAATATTGAATTAGGATTTCATAACACCATTTGTGTTACCCTAAACTCTGACAGGATTCAATTGTATGAAGCAGATATGGGGACCTGGTATCACACGGTCTGTTTGTCTGCCTGTCACTAATGTTATGTCATTTCGATAACACACACAGTGCATTTACTATACAAATACAGATAAAGTCAATAAAAATCCCTGTCATCCCACCTATATCATTAAAGCTACATTCCTCAGACATCAAATTCAAATGAACAGTATCAGGGGGATTAGACAGCTATGGTGAGTCCAGGATATTACTGTAGCACGGAAATATATAAAAAGCTTTCAAAAGAAGTAACTCTTCCTAAATAAATTCCGAAAACCTACATAATTCTACTAGTCCTGTCAAAACAACAGAGGACAGAGTTAAAACTGTCCAGAAGAAAATTATTATACTCACAGTGTACAGAAGCAGCTAACCCTTTGGTTCACTGTTTAACATATGTACAACAGTTAGTGGTCAAACACAACACTAAGTAATGTACTTATTCACCAGATGATACCCAACATATACTCTGTACAATTATTTTAATTGGTACTTTCCCAGGATGGACAATCCTACATTGGTCACTGCGTTCAAGTCCAGTAAGAAATGTCCTGTTCAAGAAATAATCTCGGAAGTATAAAACTTTCACTAGCCCCGTTAATTCTAGTTCAAGTAGTGGGCGCAAAACTTGACTTTTAGCAACTGTGAAAACAGTCCCAAAGAATACTAGCTGACTTTTCAGCTGCACTCTGCCAAGAGCTGTCCTTACATTATGTGCCTGTTACAAATCCGCTTACCTGTGTGTGTAAAGGGAAAAAGGATTAGAAAAATGTCCTATGTTTTAAAGACAGCAGAGCTCTACCAGACAATATCTAATCCTTCATTCTGGCAACAGTAAAAAGGCTGTCTCCAGAAAATATTTTTAAAAAATCTGTGTCTCAGTGGCTTCAAAAGGTAAACACTGTCCACCATGTTGTCTGCATAGTGAATGCATGTAACAATATTAAGTTGTGATCATGAAAACAAATAAAGCTGACACTCAAATACAGGCCAGTGGGGCCTTAATGCATTTAGACCATTAAATTGGTTGGGAATTGACCTTTCTCCACAAAACAGTGACCCTTTCTACTTGAACAGATACCTGTATAGGCCTGACTTGGTCTGAGAAGAAGTAGTGTTTTTATGGAGAAACTTTTATGGTTCCTATTCAGAGCACCTATACAAATTGCCAATTACCAGCTATATGTCAATCATAAAATTCTCACTGCTCAGTGGTTTTGGTCTATATCACAAATGATGGACTGGACGTTTGTCCCTCTTCTGATCTGGGGGAGAACTATGCGTGTTCACCTGTCAGGAGCCTACAGGGCACACTGGACTGTGCACTACCAGACCTTAATTAAATAACAGTAAAACAATAACAGGAATCAGGTCATCACAAAGGCATTACTAATCATTAATTACCCCTGGACAATGACTAGGAAGATATTAGTGCATTGGATTTGAGGAGAACAGTATGTTTATGGTTTAATGACAATCTACCACATGCAAACACAAACAATCTGTACTCAATTGGGTTTTGGCATCATATCACATATTTGATACCCTGTTTAACTTCAAAGGAAAAAGAGCATGCATGAATTAAATCCATATATTGTATTCAGGTCATGAGCAAACTGAAGATCATTTATGACTGTGTTTTCATTACATACATACTATACTCATGTTTTAGAGATGTTATATCTTTATTGTTTGATATAAAATATTTGACTTTGTATATAACAGTATAGTGCCAATTTAAGCTGACCAGTGAACTAGGTCAAATTACCTTCTGTATAAAAGCTCAGCAATGTCCAGACAAATGTGACAAGAGACAAATCAGGGGTGAAATGACTCCTTTTTAATTTGTAGCTATTCCTAGTCTTCATTAGTCTCCCTCTTGACACATATTCTGAATTGCTCAGTTGGGGAACATACCAAACAAATACAAACCCTGCAGGGTCTGAATGAAAAAGCTTAGAAATGCAGTCTCTGGAAGACATACCTATTTAATATATTCCCTTCTTCATTTTTCTTCATGATGAGAAATAATGTGAGACTCTAGATACACCTGCGTGTGATCATCAGCCTCACCTGTAAGGAGAGCCAGGTCTATACCTCCTCTTTATCTCTCATCACAGTCACAACAACCCAATCAATAGTGCACAGAATAAAATATAAAATATCAATAATGCATGTAGGTAAGTAATCATAGATAAACAGATTCTAAGCTTTATTTAATCAATTTCACTCTGTACCCCAGCCAAAAAATGTTGATACAGTTAAGCTCTGCACAGGTGGTACACAGAAATTAAAAAAAAAATTACAAACAGCTGACAGGAAAGAAAAATTTAAATCCAAAAATTAACAAATAAACACTGCATATCACATCTAAACACTTACGCTCTGCCAGGGGGGATTTGGTAAAGGTATGTGAAATTTTATTGTCCAGTCAAGCATTTTGATTCATATAATAGA